ATAGTAAAAGCAACATAAACACACATTCTCATGGTCGAACCCATGCACTAGCGGCTCACGGCGGGCACAGGCACGCAGTGCGGTAGCGGTACCGGATCACACGTCATGGGCGTTGTCTCAGCATAGGTTGTTCGCAATCTAGTTGAAGCCTAAGAAGACGGCCAGTGGGGTCTCACTGATGCTGAGGCGACCTCGGAGACGATGCGTCGCCCCTCCTGTCGGCGACCTGCGGTGAGCAGGACTCCAGATAGCTGTCTGGCACGTTGCCGACACTGCCAGACGCTGTCAGCAGGCCTCACTTCTGCAAGTGATGTGCAGATGGACGCCAGGTGACTTCGTCTGCAGGCGATTCCGGAGACCGCGGCCTCACCAGGCAGTACCACCTGCATCGCCATGTCGGTGTTTCTAGAAATGGAAAAATAACAGTATCGGTGAAGGACAAGCAATACAATGTATTCTGTTTTCCTCTCTTGCAGGTATACGTAATCTACAATTATCATTGTTCCTATTTCATTCAACTGAACCTGAAAATTCCATATTGGCACATTGTTTGACTAAATCTGTGTAGTTGGAAACAGGGGCGACGCCACGGTGCGACGACTGGAGGGGACATTGACCATTTTGGAGGGGCTCGGACCATTTCAAGTTGATTCTTTCCATGCAACGCCATAGGCGTAATGTTAAAAATTTTAAAAAGTGGAGGGACGAGATCCCCTCCGTCCCCCCCCCTGTGGCGACGCCCTTGGTTGGGAAGCAGATTGTTTGAAATACATGTTTGGCTGAACAGTGCAGAAAATATTTCATTGATCACTATAGCTGCAACAAAAAGACTGAGACAGAAAACATTTGCGCTTACCTGGCTCCTTAGACAGTCCCGCGCAACGGAAGTGGTACCATTTATCACAGCCTTCGCATCTGACCATTGGTGCTGCACTGATGCTGCTGCACTCCCCACATTCCCAGTACATTAGGAGCGTGTTGGCTGTGAAAAGATTACATGAGTCATGGCGCATACATGAATAGTAAGATGTTTTATATGTTTAACATCGCATAGCAAAGACAAAACAGCTGGGAGTCAAGTGTAAGCCAAAGTGTAAGCCCTGCCATGTTTTGCAGACTGGATTTTAAGCAAGAAAAGCTTTGCTAAAAATGACGCTTGACGAAGCCTCATCCTACTGGGCTGTCTGACATGTCTCCCTGTAAAAAGCATGTGGCCCTTATATTGTATATATGATGAATATGTTAATAATGCAGAGAAAACACAGTATAAATTATACCCAACGTTTCATCTTAATCGACTTTGTCAAGGGTGTTTGAACAGCTTGAGATGAGTGAAGTGTAAGGGTACCTAGGTACATCTGAAAATAAACTGAATCTGCGTTCAATAAACATTGATTTTGATAATACATTTCACAACTCAACTGCTAATAAGTTAGCACGACAGATAACTAACAATCGCATGAAGAACTTCTTGATTCGCCTTGACATCACATTGTCGTCCGAACGAATGTTGTCTGAAGTTACACATTTGTTTTTTCTGCGCAGCATTTGTGTTTGCCATTTACCGCACTAAATGTTCGCCAGCGGTGGTGACTTTTCCTTACCTGCTCACGAAACGTCACACACGACATGACGTCACCCGAAGACGTCATCAAAAAGTCCAGCTCTTAGGCGTGTCCTGTTGTAGTCAAGGCCAGTTGTAGTCGTCTGCTCTTTGGTCCGCTTTGCGCTTCGGTAATGACTCCCTGCTTATGAAATTATTAAAATTGATTGATTTGCCATGCAGGGTGAGGTGAACACAATCCCCTGAGAAGTCGCTGGCCTGAAGTTGAAGTTAGGTGAGACTGTAGTAATTGTTCATCGAGGTCAGCCGTCAGTTTCGGGCCATGGATTAATAAAAATCACTTCCTAGCTAGTCAGTTACCCTCAGGGTATCGTCTTACTCTTAGATATTTTATTATATCGTAGGCATTATACATACATTATACATCATAAGTATTATACATCTATTCGTTGTACAGGTCATTCACGTTTTAAGTACAGACAACGTACAATAAGTACCTACCTATCTTGATTTAAGTAAGCACAGACATTGGCAGCACATTAAGAAGAGGTTAGTACAACTGGCACATTGGAACATTAGTGTGCCTTGCGTGAAAAGTAGTAAGCCAGCTCTGGAGTCTGGATTGTCATAGAATCATGGCTAGTTTCGACCTTGAGTCTTTGTGCAATGAACTTCCTAGCTGATTACAGTTGTGCTTTTATCATTATTTTAATGTTTTTTATATCAGTGTTTATACTGCTTGATATTTTAGCATAAGGGCAAAGGTGTATCCATCTTGTACCTACCCTGGACCGTTGGTGCAGTGTGCACAGTGTCATAACAATGCTGACCGTTCATTGTGCATCTCCTTCATTTGCAGTACAGTGGGCTGGCTTCTACCTCACCTTTTACCTTGACTGGATCCTGAACCCTTCATGGATTTTCACTACAACCTTGACCTGGATGAATATGAATTTGAAAGGGCTCCTGGACTTATGGACCACATGGTACTAATTTTTATTTGAATGGAAAGACATCTAAACATTTTTATGACAGTGCTATTTTTATGATAAATCTTTTAATAGGTACCTAATTGTCAAATTTTCAATCATGCTGCCTGTCTGGTTTCTTATGCAACTTTTTGATTATGACTTTGTTGTGAATTTCTATATATCTTTTTGTTTTGTCTTGAACCTTGCAAAAAAAAAAAACAATCCTATGAGTTTTTCTTCACATTCACATCATTCTTCACAGTCATCCATTCACATTCTCAGTCTTTGCCAACAACTCACTTTTGATCAGATAGGTTATAATGTGCATTGTGCAATGTGCAATGAATATGCCTTTCACTCTGTGATGTAGGCATTCTAATATGCTCCCTTTTTCTAGTTGTGGAACATACAAAGAGCTGGGCGTGTTCACCTTTAATCCGCCTGGCATTCCTTTTGTCAGGTGGGTGCGGGTCCCAGCCGGGCCGTGGTGGACGAGTCACTGAGCGGCGTCCCTCTGGCCATCTACATGCTCAGGTGAGTCACGTGGACATACTTTCCCTGGCTTAGTGCATCTTGGTGGTTGGCGAGTAGGGCTGCGGAGTCGATGGATTTTCGGTGACTCCGACTCCGACTCCAGCTCCGGCTCCGACTTCCAAAAACCAGATCCGACTCCGCCTCCGGGCAGGACGTCGACTCCGACACCGACTCCAACTCCGACTCCAACTCCGACTCCGACCCCGCAGCCAAGTCAAGTCTGCACGGAGTCGATAGATTTTCGGTGACTCCGACTCTGACCTCGGCTCTGGCTTCCAAATCGACTCTGAATCCGACTGCGGCTCCGGTCAGAACTGTTGACTCCGGCCGACAATGACTCCGACTCCGACTCCGCAGCCCTGTAATGACGAGTGCCAGATGTGATCTTGGTGAACTTCAAATCTGTTCACAGCGATCATGCATGACCATAGCTGTTTGCCAAATCAACTAGTTCTAGTGCCAGGCTAGTTCCAGCTCCAGTCTTTGGTTTCTTTGAGGCCAGTTTTAGCAGCAGAAAAATCGCCGGCTGCGGTTATTTTGTTCTTGGGAGTCATCCATAGGCCACAAGCTTTACCAAACACGCCAAAAATTAATCGCTGGTATGAAAAATAATAGCCAGCCAAACTGATAAGTAATCACATCAGCGTTTTTATTTTTATTTTTAGCGTGGCTGGTGATCTGTGGGCGACTTTAGGCTAAGCATAACCTCAGCTTGATTTTTCCTGTCGGTAAAACTGGCCTCAGATATATCACGTCAGTCCGGCTACGTACGCTAGTGAGTCCCCGTGTGTGGATCTGAGTCCTGTTGTCTGATGAGTCCGAACTTCGTTTGGCAATGATTCCCCGGCAATGTCTGCGGTACTAAGGAATAGTGTTTGTCTATTTCAAACAACCTGCGGTTATATCTCAGATCCTAGTTTCCTTTCAGTTGGTAAAAAAGTACTGGAGTGGTTTCTGAACATCGCCTCAGAGACTACAGGGTCAGAATGTCACACATCTGATCTGCGCTCCCTACCGGATACATGAATGGAAGTGGTTGAACACAGTGAACATAAGGCGCACTTTGAACAATGCATTTGCGTATTGCACATACCGTGTGTGTAGCTTCGGAGCTAATTTGCGATGCCTTCTAATGTTTATGGAGTGATGAATCTGATTCCCAGATGAGTCCCTTAGGTGTTTATCAATAATTCCGCGAGTTTGTCTCTTCTCATGCAAGGATATAACCTGACCTGACTCACGCTATTCAGGTCATCAGAGGTCATCAAGGGTTAACTCGTCACAAGTCTGACTGCTCACATTTTTGGACAACTAGCCTGATAAGGTGATGGTTATGAATTACCTATAACGGTTTAGCCTCCAGAGGAAAATAACTTCAAATAACCGTTTTGTGGAAACGTTTTCCTACAATATAACTATTTCCTTTCCTTTCCTAGCTCGCTCATATGACATTGGTTTTGCCAACATTGTGTTTCTCAGTTCTCTCCGTACCAGCCCGTTCTTACGGCTTCTCCCCGTGTCAAACCTCGTTTCTACTGTCACCTGGCTGGTCGCTGCATCGGCTCTGATCCGTTTTCCCGCCGATGCTGCCTCTCCCTCCACTCTCTCCCCTCACATCCATCTGCCGCCCGCGCGGCGCGTGCCGAACGTCCAGTCGATCCGCAGCCCGCGCCGTCTGCTGCCCGCCCCTCTCTACCTGCGCTCCCCTCCCTCACCCTCGTGCGCCACCCGTGCCGTCCATCAGCACGTCAGCCCTCCCCCGCCCCCGCTCCGGGCCCCAGCTCACGGCCACCACACCCTCCCCTGCTCTCCCTCCCCTCTGCTCTCCTCTCGGACGCCGTGTTTCTCGCTCTGCCCTGGCGGGCGGCGGGCGGCCGGGGGCGGGGGCGGGGTAGTGGTGGCGGCGGCGGCGGCTCGGGCGGCCCGTAATCATTCACCAGTGAGGGTACGCCGCGCAGGCGTGGAGTCCGCGGCAGTCGAGTACCGTTCGCGCTAGGAGAGGGACCGAGCGGCACGTGCGAGGCTGGGTGAGAAAGGCGTGAGGTGAGATACCGGTGTGAGATCGGTACGGTTGGAACAGTCGCATTGCTGATGGTGTGAGGCAGTGAGGAGCGTGGGCGGACCAATTCCGTTGACGATGAGCGAGGGACGAGTGATGGAGTGAAACGAGCGCGAACAGACAGCAGTGAATCGTGTTGAGACGGCATTTGGAGGACGTTGAGGCAGCGAGAGACGGCGCTGAGACGACAGTGCAGAAAGACTGCTTGAAACATAGCGTGAGACTCGCAAAGCTCAGCGAGGAAGGACCGCTACGTTACGCTGCCCGAAATCGCGGCTCTCATCGTGTTTCGTAAGGTTGCCGTTGCGTCCGCCTGGCTTTTCGAACCGACCGCCTGTCAGCAATCCATCAGCTTACGTCAGATCGGCACACGGCCGTCAGTTGACTAGGCCGTCCTTCCAGACCGCCAGCGTCAGTTGCGTTGGCCGTCTGTCGTCTGTTGAACCGAGACAGGTGCAGTACCCGGGGTAATTCGTTAGGCTTGAAATACGAGCTGGGTGGTGAGTGGATTCGACACGAGATCTGAGGCGATGGATATCGCGGGTGGAGGGGTGCCAGTGATATGTGACTTCCAGGAGTTCTGCCTATGTTGCACAATGATCCAGACTGCTGGCGGTTCTCGTTTGTTTATGCTCGCGCTGAACTTTGCTATAAGGTGCTCCCATACAGGACTCAGTTTTCATCGGACGCGGTGTTTTTGAACGTTCAACAGGCTTGGTAGTTGGTACAAAGCTCATTTTTCAAACATGGGGCCAAAACGTTATGCAAATGCAATGCATGTGAGCAATGAATGTCCTTGCTGTATGAAACATTTTCCCGGTATGCGAGGTTCGGAGATATTTAAATCTCATTTCATAACAGGGCTAGCACATTTACGCAGAAATTAAGCCTCTACAAGTGATAGAAACATCAGCAGCACGTCAAGCGGCTTTGACACACGTCAAGCGGCTTGGCACTGTGCAACGTTTTATCTGGCGATTTGAAACAGCCACGCTCTGCACCACAGCTTAGGATTGCCCTTCGGAACAGACGACCGAAGGCTCTCCATTTACGGCCTGTCCCGGGTCCCGCCGTTTCGATCCCGATATGGTCTGTGCCTCTCTAGCCCCGGCTAACCGGTGGACTCTGTGACCATACCGACGTCACACTGGTGATCTATTATTCGTACCAGTCCCATACAAGGCTGGGGTACACCTCTACAGGCCTCTAGACAAGGCCATCGGATTGACAACAGTCGTACCGCGTTGAATATCATTGGACTCTATGCACTTGTGTCGAGCGCTCGGTGCTCCGGGATGCTTATACGAACAAGGGAATATCAGTTGGCGTCTGTGGTGGTTGTGAAGTTGTAGTTATGTTGAGAGGTGGCTCCAAGCTCGCTGGCTGTCTTTCGGCGATTGAATTGATTGTTTTCTTCTCTTTGCAGCTGACGGTTCACTGAGTCAGGACATTCACCTCCGCCATCTTTATCCAATATCCGTTGCATGTTGCGAAACACCACAGAAACACGGCAGTCTTATAATGAGAGACACAAAAACAGACGAGCTGTGCGGCGCCTTTGTTGTGCTCCTGCCCTCGCCTGTTCCTTATTGCGCGCGACCGACGCTGGCGGGCATTGTCTGTATCTCTCCCCTGTGTAAGAGCGGGTCAGGGTCCCCTCTGAAATAGCGGGTCACGGTCGCCGGGTGGCTGCCAGAAGGGGTGGGGTGGGGTGCGGCGTGCCAGCGTGACGTCCGGTGAAGGTTGGTAGAGGCGCCCTCCTGAGACGATGCAACACCGTGCCTTTAATGACAGACGATCCTGCTGTCGTTGCTCACAGTCACGTGTTTGTTCTTTGTTGCGCATGCTGTGGGCGTCGCCAGCATCAACAGTTCCTGGTGCCTCGTCATTCACGAGTTAACCATTCTTTTCGTCGGCTGTGGCTGCCAGACTCCTACTCGTTACTCAATGTTTGGCTGAGTTTGTTGCTCCTCTGAGCATTCACACTCCAGTGTGGCCCCACGGTGGGCCAGCTGGACCGTTTCCAGAGCCGAGTGAGGCCGTTCCTGGCTAACCGTTACAGATCGCTGCCCATGTTGGCTCGTTTACGGCTTCCGCTATGACCGGCCGGCGGACGGCGGTGTCCTCTGTTCGCGGTATGGTTATGTGTGCCGTCATGGGGAGGGTAGAGGGGGTGGAGTTTAGTGACAGTGACGATGACTGTGATGGCAGCGGCGCGATGGCGATGATGACACCAACAGCGGTGACAGTGACAGTTGTGGCTGATGCCAGAAGCAACGTTCGCACTTTTACCCAGGAAGCTTCACCAACAGCCCATTTACATATCGCAACGTCTCTGCATGGCTGGTGGGGCGCACTCCATCATCCACTTTCGCCTGTCTCTTCTCACGCCACTTTCCTAACTGGCTGCTGGTTTACGGCGACTGCTCGGAACCTTCATATCCGGCCCGGCATCGCTGCCGGCACTCTGGTCGTTTCTCACCAGCCCTAGGCTGCACCTGAGGCCTGGAGCTGTATGAGTTAGCTCTGACATTGCCAATAGTTATGGCCTCATTGCTCGCCGTTGGGCCCACTGTAGCTCACTTTTGCTTCACGGTCGCGCACCGAATCTAACTTCTTGGGTCTGACTCAATATTCTGAGTCATGTTCGGCGAACATCTTGTCTCACTGCCAATTTGTGCCATAACTGACCTGTCCCGCGTCTGGCGTACCTATCATGCCTGACCTCTCTAACCTGTCGGCCATTAGCTCGCATCTGTCGTGCCACGCGTGCCGCCCCCGCCCCCGCCCCCGCCGCCGCCCACGTCTCCGTCGACCCTGTCGCCGCCGACGTCCCCGCCCAACCCGCCCCATTCCCGACGCTGATGCCGACGTCCCGTGGAGTATTTCTGTCCTCGTGTCGGAGAGAGCATCGCACTGTCTCCAGGGACGGGGAGCGAGCGTCGTGGGCTCCTTGTGACTGGCTAGGGAGATGGCTGATTGCTGGTTATATTTGGCATAGCGGCGCAGGCTTGGATGGAGAGGGAGGTGTGTATGTACGCAAGATAAGAAGGTTCGCCGTTATGATTCAAGTTTTCTCTGACGTCTACGTAGATTTTGATGCTTTTTGTGAATGGCTCTGTGCCGAGGTGTATGGTGATTGCTACCTCAAGATATCCATTGATGGCGTCCGTAGTCGGTTTTATGACTTCGCATCGGATGCTCACCGCCGAGCCGCTTGCCTGTTATGTTGAGACTTCCATCGCAGCGGTTACATATTTATCTCCCTGATGAATAGATCCGTATTTAGCTCGTTGCTGATCGTTTATCTCTTCAGAAGGCGATGGGAACGGTACACGAATGAAAAGACATCGTTCTTGGGGTCGGGCCGCCGACAAGGCAGGACAGAGTCGCCAGTTCTGTTTTTATTCCGCAATGGTGATGCATGTAGTAAGGGCGGATGTGAAAGTGAAATATTAATACCAAGCCGGTGTACTTTCATCGTATTTGCACACGGCGCATGTTTCATGTGCCACAAAGTCGGCCAAGGAACATCAAAGCGTGCCGTTTATTTTTAAAGCTCATCATTCATTTCCGTAGCAATAATACCGGCTTATCTACAGTTACCATTGTTATTTTTTGCCATTGTTTGTCAACGCTCAACTAGACCGCCCTGACCGGGTAACATGCCCTGACCGGGTAGCGACGGAGTAGACATGCCCCGACCGGGTAGACATGCCCCGATCGGGTAGACCATAACAGACATGTCCCGACCGGGTAGACATGCCCCGATCGGGTAGACCATAACAGACATGCCGTGACCGGGCGACCTTGCCACTGATCATTGTTCTGCCACAGTAACTGTCTGATCATTGTTCTGACAGAGACCCGTCACTGCCCATCCCATGCCACTCCGGGCTATTGTTCTGACACTTGACAGAGACCCGTCACGCCCACTGCCCATCCCATCGCTCGCTAACCCTCCCGGCCCGCTATCCTCCGCTGACTCACCCGCCCTCCCGTCCTCTCTCGTCGGCCGATGACGTCCCGGCGTCATCGATCGGTGACGTCACCGTCGGGCGTGCGTCACCGATGCTCTGTCGAGAGCGGGGGCGGCGGCGGTGTGGGAGGAAACACTCCGAGATGAGACAGTCGACATGGCCCGGCTCTCACCACGACCGCGGCTATTGGATAGGATCCTCGAGGCGGCGCAGGGCCATTCACTCGTAAGGGCCATTCACCCAACCGTCCCATCTATCCTCATTCTTTCCTATTTATCTTCCCTCCTTTTTATTTTCCCTCCCTCTCCTCGCATTCCCACCGTTTCCGGAAAATCTACTTGTGGGTTTAGCCTTTGATGTGCTTTTATGCTGTCGCCTATTGTGATTTCCATTCTCATGAGCCCTGCTCTCTCCTCTCTCTTCCTCTCTACTCTTCTTCCTTTTCCCCGTCTGTCTCCTCCCTATCTCTCTCTCTCTCTCTCTCTCTCTCTCTCTCTCTCTCTCTCTCTCTCTCTCTCTCTCTCTCTCTCTCTCTCTCTCTCTCTCTCTCTCTCTCTCTCTCTCTCTCTCTCTCTCTCTCTCTCTTCTATCTCTCTCTTCTATCTCTCTCTCTCTTTCTCTTTCACTCTCCTCTCTTCTCTCCTCTCTCCCTCTCCCTCTCTCACCTCTCCCCTCTCCCCTCTCCCCTCTCCCCTCTCCCCTCTCCCCCTCTCCCTCCCTCCCTCTCTCTCTCTCTCTCTCTCTCTCTCTCTCTTTCTGTCTCTCTCCCCGCCGGGGAAGATGGTCCTGACCCTGTAGTCCAGCGAAGGCAATCGATGCCCATGACGTCACGCCCATGACGTCACGAACAAATGTGGCAGAGCGTTGACATCGTTGGACGACGCCGTCCGAAGATTTCCTCCGCCTCTGCCGACGCTCTGGAATGGAGGAGACCCGGGCCCAGTCCGTGACTCAGCTGCCTCCATTCAGCAGTTCCTGACGCGGGTGTGCAGGTGGTTCTCTAGCATGGTGTGTGGGTGTTGTGTGGTGCGCCTGAAACGGACGGCCGGGCCTATCGCAGCGATTGTTCGTCGACTCAACTCAACGGTATGGTGCCACTGCAGTTCCCGCCTGTCAGGATCTGAATCAGACTGGCGATGTGCTGTCAACCTTCAGCATCCCGCCCCCAGTGCCCACCACGCTACTCGTCCCTCCTGCCACCCTCCCCCCCCCCCCCAGCTATCGTCCCCGTCCCCGCTACCGTCTCTGTCCCCTTGTTTGTTTGTTGGGGGTTAGGGGCGCGCCGACTGCGAGGTCACTTTGCGCCCAACCGTCCCCGTTCCCCGTCCCCCGTCCGATGCCCCCTCCCCCTCCCCGCCCTCTCCCCCGCCCCACGTCACGCATACTAACACCCACGGCGTAGTCTAGCGGCTCTGGCCGACGGTGGTGCGGCCTTCTTTCATCAACCGGTGAGGTAAACATTGACGTTGGGCGGCGTGTCAGGCCGAAACACGCCACTGCCGATGTGTCATGGGCCGTGCCCAGGGGGCGGTCCGTGCGGGCGGGCCGCTGAGTGACGGGTTCCGCGAGCTACAGGACTGAGGTGTCAGCCAAAGTAGGGGAGAGTGGGGCAAAGCGGCCACCCTAACGTTTCTAACGATGCCGACGCTTGATTTTTAAAGTTGGAAAGATTCTTTCTATACCAATGTGATCCCTATTAAATTGTCTTTTATTCCAACTGCGTTTCATTTCCAAAGGCGTTCACATATGGGAGATATTGACAAAAATTTAAACCTATAGCATATTGGCCACTTTGCCCCATCCCTGAGGCAAAGCGGCCACTGGCGACTTCTCAAGTCCCGATATGAGAAACAGAATAGTTGCCTCATGCACGACTAGGGTATTTGATGGTGACAAGGTTTAAGGGAAGATGGATGTTTACTTTGTTATCTTCCCACCTATTGCTAAACAAAGAAAGAATTTTCTTGGAAAAACATTTAATTGCATAATTTGGTAACTCATGTAACCGAAAAGTGGCCAAAATGAATGCATGACGACACATTTGAATATAAATAATGTTTTTATCCAGATGGAAACAACTTATGGCCAATTGGGGGCTGGCCACTTTGCCCCGGCCGCTTTGCCCCGCGCATACCGTCCGAGACAAAAATATTCCAGCTCAGCTATTAGTGGGGTAAAAAGCATCAAAATTGGTAGAAGGCATGTACGATAACCACGCAATGCATGGACAAAAACGCTTATAAAAATTCCAAACGGTTATGGAATAAAACAACATTTAAAAATTGTAAACATAATTGGTAACCTGGCAAGAAATGCTTTTCCGTGTTTCGCAGAACAATGGCGATGGGCCTGAAACCCCGGTCTGGCTCATTCGAACGACCGCAAAGAGAAGTATAATTGGAAATCATAAATTGGAACTGACGCCAGCTGTGGAGGGCTAAAACGATGGATGGCCGCTTTGCCCCGGGTGGCCGCTTTGCCCCACTCTCCCCTATATAGAAGAACGCGTCAGCCAAGGGGAGGGGTGAGATGACCGCTGGGTGTACTACTGTTCCGTTGTGTGTGATGTTTCTTGGAGCCAGCTGTCGAGTAACTTCAGGCTGGAACACGACTGGTACCCTCATTATGGTCCGGACGAGTGCGCAGAGTCGTGTTTCCTTCACGCTACCGACAGTTACACGGTTTTAGACGGAAATCGACAGGAACACGTGCGTATGCCCGTGTTCTGGTCAGTCAGTTCGCTTTGCCTGCCAGTCGCCATGGCTTAGTTTGTTGGTTTGTCGAGTTGGCTTCGTTTCCAACGGAACTTGGCTTAGTTTGTTGGTTTGTCGAGTTGGCTTCGTTTCCAACGGAACTGATTTCAGGGCCAGACTATCCTCTGTCGATAGGAGTTAGGACATGTGGACGGACAGTCCTTGGAGGACGCGGGTGAGGACCTTGGGCTGTTGGCCGTTGAACAATGGACAGTCTCCGGCTCGAACAACCTGGATTTGGCTGGTTTCTTGCCTTTGATAGGGTTGACCTGAAAAAGTTCAGTCAGTGGCGTCAGGCTTCGAAATACCGTAATCCAGCGATATGGAGCGTATTGAAGTCTGTGCTATGTGCCAAAGTGGCTTATTGGGGCACGGACATCCTGCACGGGATTTCCACCATCACTCTATCTGGCACCCGGTGGCAACTGCAGGCCCCACTTCGCCGTCAGAATGCCCGCCGAAAACAATCCCGTGATGGATGTGACACAAGACGTTTCATCCCAACCTGTGGCCCGTTTTTCTTGGCTCGCTGAGTGGCGCGGCGGCTCCGTAACCGCGCCGTATCGCCGTAGTTGCGGGATTACGAGCGGCTGCCTACGGCCGGGCGCCGCGGCTGACTGCGGCGGCGTGCCGCAACTCGGCGCCAGCTGTGGGCTCCTGCGGTCGCGGCGGCACGCCGGGCGGCCGCGGAACGCGCACGGCTTCCGGTGTCGCCTCGTGCGCCTGGCGAGGTGCGGTTGCCACCACGCCCGTCAGCCTCAGGCGACAGCCGTCCATCGTATGCCGTCCGCTGCCCTTCGTTGGTGTGAGCTCATGGAGCGAGAAACAATGGGAACTAGACGGCCGAGGCGAAAATGAGCGTTGTGTGAGCGTCCTGTCTTAGAAAGCATTTACCATGAAATAAGTAATTTTGGAACCAGCTTTGATGCGATCTGCCCACGGAGTAGGGTAGTCTGTTTCCATAAGTATTTTTGTAGTTGTTGCAATTACCGTTTACAACGGCATGCTTTTCATAATTACTTACTCCTGCGGGCGCATGGCCAATCACCCAGCCCGCCTGAGAGCTGAAAGCTCGCCACCGTACCCACTGACCCGAGCTCCCTCACTCTGCCCGGTGGACCAAATAACCTCGTCTCCACCAACCACATAGAACCCCCTCACTCTGACCACCTCATACCACCATCACTCTACCCACCATAGGACCCCTCACTCTACCCTCCACAGAACCCCCATCTCCCCACCCACCAAACAACCCCCATTACTCTCCCTACCTGAGAGCCCCTCACTCAGCCCCTTCACTCTGCCCACCTGAGAGCTCCCTCTCTCAGGCAGGCACTCAGCCCACCCAAGTGCTGGAGCGTGACCGAGCACCGTATTCCGACACGTCCGCGCGACGGTTTTCTGCACCGCGCCGGGCCCGAACACGTTCTGCGGTTACAATGCATATGCCGTCCGTGGCACCGTGTGTGACTGTGACTGGCTCGTGCCTATCAAAGCGAGCTGTCTACCTGTCCAGACTCCATGGAGGCGAGGCTGTGTGGGTGGTAGCGCCGTCTGGGTACCGCAGAAGCTCATGTTGCGGTTGCTCGTGCTGCCGTGCGGCGCGCTCGACTGGTGGCGTTGGTTCGATGCTGGGAGAGAGCAGGGTGCCGTTGATGAGGTGGATGTAGAGCGTAGCGTGAGGTGAAGGTCGGAAAGGGCAGGAGCCGTGTCAGTTGGTGCGCTGGAGCTTGATGTTGAAGAGAGCAGTGGGCTAAAAGATAAACAGCGGTCGATTGCACATCGCTACCTGTCGGTAGGAGGAATTTCAACTTTTGATAATATTTGCATGCATGTGAATTGTGATTGTTTCATGTTTAGTGAGGTAGGCACATGTGTATGTCGAGATGGCTCAGTCAAGAACGGAAACGATTCCTAGCTAGGCCTGCCTGTGCTTGCAATTTCGTGTTTATGTTTCTTCTGAGGTCAGATCTGTCGATACTGGTCTCCATTTCTGGCGTGGTTAGTGTTCCGACCGCGGCGGGTCAGTGTCGGTCTCAGCCGCCGAGGTCACCGGTCTTCCCGGTACCGGGTGGCGGCCGCCCGCAGCGTCAGTCCTGTGTTTAGCGTGCGTCACGACTTCCGCTCTCCCCTACGGCCCTGCCGCCGGCGTCGGTGGACCGAGTGGGGACCGGTAGCAATCACACGGCTATTCCAGCGAACAGAGCTACTGTGTATAACCACGGCACGTCGTGTGTCGTTTGACGTGACGTGGCTTTTGCCGCGGCCGTTTTGTCGTTGGCACGTTTTAATTACCGGGGTTATGTCGGTGCCATGCCAGCGTCATTGGTACACGGGGCTGATATTCAGGAGTCATGTCGTCTAAATTTTTGTCGTGTTCTTAGTATGTGCCATGGCTGGTGTCGACACACCTATCGCTAACTGTCACATCATCATGACAGGTTTCAATATTATTGAGGTCGGTTAAGTTCTCATTTGTTTTGTCCAATGGCGAACCCTTCCAAGTTCCAGCTCTTCCAACTCTTTGTAGTACATACCTACAATGCTACCTTTTCTCACCTTTGAACGCATTGATATTATTCATTCACTTCAAAATACTGGTAGCATTCTGTGGTAAATAGTGGGTATTGACATTTTATGTTACCCCTTTCGCTGCTATAAAAGCCGGGTATTTCTTCTATCGCTTTCTGTTTTTTTTTTCTTATTTTATTTCTAGCTGTGCGCTTCGTTTTCAGTGATGCTGCTTATTTCTGCCTTCTACGTTTCCATCCTTGTGCCAACTGTAGTAAAATTGACCTGTTCGTTCCGCTAGTATGCCCGTGTATTGCCGTAGTGCCTTGCCAGTCTCGCTCGCGCCTCACCGCCGCGTTGTCTCGCTTTCAGGGGGCGGTCGGTCTCGGCCGACCGGTGTAGGTGTCGCTAGTGTCGCTCCGCCAGATGCCGCTGCCGCTGCAGCTGCGTGTGGGCCTGGACGGCCAGTCACTGCCGGCTGCTGAGGGGGGCGAGGCGCTCTGCGACGTGCCCGATGGGTGAGTAGATCGGCGAGCTGAGCAATACCCTTGAATTCAGGAAGCTGTTGACAGGCGGGTAGGGCAGTATCGCCAGGCTATCGCAATTATGCTGGTTATCTGTCATTTTCACGATAGATTGATTCAAAGCTGTCCGTTTGTACTTGTCTGCGTTGTGACATGTTTATTTACTTTTTACGCCTCAAATCTCGGCAGACTTGTTCGAAAACGCGCAGCTCGTCAAGCCCCACATCTATCACCGCCTCCCTCCCCTCCGCCATACACTCACCACCCCGCTCCGCCACCACCGACAGCGCCGGTGACGCGGGCCAGCGGGCGGCGGTGGCTGAGGGCGTGCCCCGTCTGCTGGGCTCCGACCCGGCCGGCTGTCTGTCGGAGGTGGTGCCGCGCGTGACGGCCGCGCTGCCCTCGTCACCGCCCGACTTTCAGCGCGCGGCCAGCGCCAGCTTCCTAGCGGTGCTGCGCCGGGAGCTGCTGCCCCAGTCGACCTTCACACAGACCTTCCTGCAGAGCATACTCATCAGCGTGGACAGCAATGACCCCGGTGAGAGAGTGAAGGGAGTGAGAGGGAGGAGAGGGTGAGGGGAGTGAGGAGGAGGGGCAGTAGACTTGAGGTGGTGTGCGGGCTAGGATAGCAGCTAACACTATTACGCGAAATATTTATCATTTGGAACGGAATCTAAGAAAGATGACTTACGTTTAGAAGACTGTTTAAAGTTGATGGAAAATGACTGACAGATGTGGTGAAATGAATACTTTCTGATGATTTTTTCCCGACTCGTCGTCTTATTTGTATTGATTGACCAATGACCAATGCTATACCATAGTTGGACCATAGTTGTAATTTTATCATTCATTGTCTTCCAACCCGGGTCATTGCTTTCGCAGTGACTATTGGAAGCCCGTATTTTATCATTCATTGTCTTCCAACGAATGTGTCTGAAACAGGTGGATTTAAAAAAGTTCTCGGCTGTAGCCCTTGGGTTTCCTTTGGATAGCTCCTTCTTTCGTTTTGTTGGCTGAATTACATCTGTTTATCGCTCTCTTTCAACGCCTAGCTATGTCAATGTATTCTCTCCGCCGCCGTGTGCTCGGTGCGATGCTGAACCTGACCTCACTCGTGCCTTGTTGACAGTGGTGGCGGCGGCCTGGTTGGAAACACTACTGGACGTCATTGACCTGCTGCCGGCCGACGTCATCCAACAGGAGGTACGTGAACGTGTGCCTGTGGGACGGCAGAGAATCAGACTCGGCAGGCAAGACTACATACGAGTATACCAATGTCAGTAGTTCCGATACTCGATACCCGCCATTGGATGTGTTTTCGGAGTGACGATTGACAGGTTGTCTCTGTGCCGTATCAAAGTAGCGCCGTACTGCCCTTTGGTGTGCTTGATTGTCCGATAACGCGATTGAGTTTCCGTGTCGGGTAGGTTCTGTGCCTGCTGTGGCCCATCACCGCTGCTGTACTGTTTCGCGCTGACAACTGAGTGACTGTGACCGAGTGACTGTGACCTATGAACTGTTGACTGTTGTCTGTGACTTGACTGTAGAATGTGGACTGTGTCTGACCCTGTAGACTGTGTCTGTGAACTGTCACTGTGCATTGTCTTTTGTGAGTGCGACTGGGACTGTGGACTGTAGTTGAGTATTTGTAAAATGCTACTGTGTGTCTGTCACTGTCAGAATCAGTGTGGCAGCTATTTGATCCGACACTCTCCCCCGCAGATTCTGAGCGTTGCAGTGGAGAAGAGTCAGCTCAGCCACCCAGTCGCGTCACGGGTGGCCGGCTGTAAACTCATCGGCAGGATGGCCACCAAATTCGACCCCTACACGTGAGTGTTCACCGCCTCACGAACTAACTATACGGATGTCGGGAGGCCAAACATGGAGATAGCTGGTTATCGGTGGCTCTGGTGATCTGTGGATGATTGTGATGGTGATAATAGTGGTGATAGTTATAAGCTCGCAAAACAAGCGTCTCCTATTTGGATAAGGTCTCTCCGTAATTCCATTACACTCCGTTTGTCTCACTCATGGATAAGTGCTGTCACCGCCGCCTTTACCGTCGCCTTTGCTATTGCCTGTTGTTCTCCCTCCGCCAATCCCACCGCCCCACCTGACATCACCGCATCCATTCCCGCAGGATCCAGACGGAGCTGCTGGCCAGCGTGCAGTCGCTCTGCCAGGACGTGGACTCCGAGGTCCGCGCGGCCATGTGTTCTCAGCTGGGTGCGGTGGCGCACGGACTCGGTCCACAGGTACGCAGGGAGAGGGCGCTGGGGAATCAGGGCTGGAGAGGGTGTGGTGCGATGTGATGTACCGAAAGGAGAATGTACCGCAGTGTACCGTACCGAAGGGAGAAAGAAGCCATCTATGCACCGCAGTGACTCCATCTGTTCATGCTTGGCCTGGTACTACGCCCTAGTCCTATTCTATGACGCATACCTACTACCGTTAGGCTTATGTGAAGCCCAGTTTTCGCCCGACGGTGCTGCCCCCTACTTGCCTACTGCAGCTCTCTCCCTCCGCCCGATCGTGCTGGCCTCTGCTAAACTCGTGTCTCTCCCTCCATACTTACTAAACTGTGCTGCCCTCTGTGCACCTCTAGCCGTCCTTTTCTGTCTCCCTGACTTTCTGTCTCTGTGCACCTCTAACGGTCCCCCAATCGCCGCCAGGAGACCCGCGCGGCCATCATTCCGGAGCTGGTGGAACTATCCAGTGACGAAGAGGTAGCGGTACGCCTGGCCGCCTTCCGCACGCTGGTCGACATGCTGGATATCCTGGACGCCGGTAAGGGAGGGGAAAGAGAATGAATCCATAGTGGAGTGACAAGGTGGGGCAGGATGGGACGGCAGATAGTTCGTGCCTTGTCGTAGTCAACAGTCATTGAAGCCATTCGCTCCTTTTTTGCTCAACGCCCATACTCTGGGGGTCAGTGGAGAGATGCCATCGAATTATTTCACTCCCAAACGTCTGCACGTTTCTCGGTGATGCGTTTCTGTCCGACAGTTATCGCGAAATGTCTATCTTTCATCAAAGTTCTTTACACCATCGTCCCTGTCCAGTGTGAAGCAGGCTGTGACGAACTGAACCTCTGCTGTCCCGGTATCTAACTCCTTCCCCTCTGATCCTCCCTCCGCAGAGACGTGCACCCAGACCATCATCCCACTGTCGATGAAGGTGTGTGAGTCGAGCTACGAGTCGCGGGACTCGTCCCTGCCCGTCATCGCCAAACTCCTGGGAAAACTCAGCTGCGGACTCAGCGGTGAGTCGGTCCGAGAGTCGGACTTTCGTTGTCATTGAAATATGAGGCATGTATTATGGGCTCAATTTTGTACAGTTTTTCTTAAATGCACCGTATCGGTATTGAAGTAGCAATGCCGGATATAGGGTGTTAAATGGATAAAAACCATGAATTTAATGTAAGGCTTTTGTTGGCTTTTTGTCAGCGGTTGGGAACTATCATAAAATTGGCTGGGACGTGTTAGTGGATTTTTTTTTTTTTTGTTAGTGATCACGAGAAATGAATAGATAAGCAAAAATGAAACGCTTCATATTGCAGAGTTATCCTAGTTTAATGGTATATTTTGTGTGCGTACACACTGCTTATATGTGCTCCGATTATGAACATTAATGTATTTTCTGCATGTATTATTGATTGTATTTTCATGTTTGTTGCCAGTTTCATTATAAACAATTCTTCGTTTTGTAGCTTCATGCTCATTCACCGACCTGTCAAGTATGGCGGCTTAGCCAATATTGACAGTACGAAATATCCAGTCGCAGGTTTTAAATGGCAGCTATTTTATCACATAGCACATTAACTATGCAGTATCAGTATGCACACTACCGAGTGTTTCTCTTCTGTTACCAAACGTTGGCTACTCCTACTCATCTCTTTATCGATGTTGTCTCCTCCCACAGAATACCTGAGTCCAGAGCAGAAGCAGACGTTTCTGGACTTTTACGGCGGCGTGGCACGGCTGAAGAACCTCCATAAGGCCGCAGCGGCACGCAACGAGTTCAACCCGGTACGGGAGGGGATTTGGACAGTTTGATGGCAAATAATCTGTGCTGGACTGATGTGGCCTGGTGGTTGACATGGTGTAAGGTGTAACCTGACCTGATGTAGTCCTACCTAAGGTCGGGCGCTCTGAAATAAGAAATTACCACTAATCCTACCTGACCTGAGGTGACCAGGGCCCTGTTTCAGCGCGTGACACTTCCTAACACTACCAGTATCGGCGCTCGCAAAGATTGGCAATTCTGCTCACGGTTCCATAAAACCGAGTGCCAATTATACCTGGTGGCGTCAGGTTGCGGCGCGTTGTGAAACAGTGCTCTGACCTGACTGGACCGAATTTAACGCCATCTTTCTAGGTGAAGATTCAGTTACTTGGTTACGACTTCACAAGTTCATTGCATATGGTGACGTCGAGTTGTATTTGTCTAAGGAAAGATTTGCTGAAACTTGGATCGTTTTACCTTTCACGAGAAGTACAAAATATCGTTGATAATTGATGTTAATTCATAGCTGTCTGGAAAAGGAGTGACGACATATTGTCAGTTTTGATGGATACCACTAGGCTCTGTAAAGTAGAGCATCCATTTATGATGGTTTGGTTATTTTGGAAGAATTCCATGCCTCCTTGCGTCGAGTGGGTAGCAGCTTTGCAGTTTTCAACATCCGCCTTTAAAATTCATCATGCATAGGGATTCAGATAAGTAGGCTGTTCGCCAATTCAAATTCCCAGCGCCTCGGTCAACTTTTCGTGACGTTGTTTTCCGTCCTGCGGTGCCGATCCAAAGTCCGTCAGCTGCGGCGTCCCGCAGATGAGCATCCTGTCTGCTACCCGGCACGGTACGTTAGCTCCGAGCAGTCGCTCCCTGGAAGTCGCGGGGCCACGTGTCGGTATACGGCGCACAGTGTGTCGTCAGTCTGCCCTCCCGGGGAATTATTATGCAAACTACGGTAATGTATGCAGACTGGCGACTGCAGCGGTAACGTGATATCTAGGACAGCTTCTGCGACTGTTCTCGGTGGAACGAACCCGAAACCGGATAGAGGCTTCATGATTATGGAGTTTGATTGGGTCGTCTTGCGCATTTCATTGTTTTTGTATTATGTTTAAGTTGAGAGCGTTGTTATCAAAATCTGAGTGGTATAGATTGTTATATAGTTACTGTTTTGCGATTCAATCGGCAAATGCGTTTAAAATGACGGAAATGTTGCAGGCTGTTTGTATACAATAATCGGTTTTATTCTGACGTTTTCTTTTGACTATATCTTTTGTCCGTGGCATTGATTTCTCCCATCACATGAGCCACAGCTTGCGGAATAATTAATCGCTGCCTTTCTCTGCAGTATAATTAGGACCACAATGAATAACTCAAGAGTCGATGATTCGTCCGCACCCCACTTACACTAACCCCTCCCCTCCCCACCGTCAGATGCCGGACCTGGTGCCGCAGCTAGACCCGAGCGAGCGCTACATGCAGTGTTGCGAGGCGTGCGCCTTCAACTTCCCCGCGATGCTGCTGCTGGCGGGCGGAGACCTGAGCCGCAGCAACCTGCACGCCACCTTTACCGACCTAGTGTTCGACCCGCACCCGGGAGTGAGGCGGGTCATTGCAGCAGGGTTTCACGAGGTCAGACATGGAGGAGGAGAGGGAGGGGGCAGATGCTTAGCTGAGGGGGGGGGGGGTACAGACGGTTGGAGGGGCGCAGGCGGAGGGAGGGGCAGAAGGGCACACACGGTGGGAGAGGCTGAGGGCACAGGCGGGGGGAGGGTACGGGGTAGAGCTGCTCTGCACATACGGAGGGTGGATGGGGGGGGGGGGGTGTACAGCGGAGGGAGGGTGTGGGCAGAGATGCTCTGTCAGGCTCTGTCATAGAGATGCTTCGTCAGGCTCTCTCATAGCAGCGTACGGGTGGGATTCGGGTGCCGTGTGCGGGGACACGTTTGAATGGGGATCAGCGATCGGCTGGCGAGCTGCTGTGCATAATGTTTCTCTGATGAAGGAGTGAAATGGTGAGCTAGTGCTGTTAATATTATATGTAAGTAATACAGATCATCAAACCGCCAGCAAACTGCCGCCGCCTTCGAGTCGACCGTCACTTAGCTTATGACTAGAATTAGATATTTGCATTACCAGGGAGCCTGCCTCAAAGACCTTAGAGTTTGACCATGACACGTGACAGCCATTCACAATGATATGTGACAATATATAGGTGTGAGGAAACTTTGCGTCCTCTCATCTTCTCCCTAAAGCTGCCTCCCGAGCGTAACATCTCAGCTCCTCCCGTCCCCTCCGTGCTGTAGCGTAACACCGTGTTCTGCTCGCCACAGGCGTGTCGCCTCCTGGGCCCGCCTCCTGGGCGTGGGGTTTTACTAGGTGACTAGTAAAACCCACGCCTTCCTCCCCTGCAGGTGTGCCGGCTGCTGGGCCCCAGCGTGCACCAGGTGCGCTCGTGTGACCCCACGCCTTCTCCCTCCCCTACAGGTGTTCCGCCTCGACCTGGGTCCGAGTGTGCACCAGGTGCTCCAATATGACCTCATGTCCCCCTACAGGTGTGCCGCCTGCTAGGCCCTAGCGTGCACCAGGTACACTCTGAAGTGGTAAATCTGCACCAATATGACCTCCCACGCCCCCTTCCCCCAGGTATGCCGCCTGCTGGGCCCCAGTGTGCACCAGGTACACTCTGAACTGGTACACCTGTGTAACCTCGAGCTCTGCTCCCCCAGGTGTGCCGTCTTTTGGGCCCCAGTGTGCACCAGGTGCACTCTGAGCTGGTTCATCTGCTCAAGGACGATTCGGTGGACGTGCTGGCCGCCCTGGTGGAGCGGCTGCCGCTCACGCTGGAGGCGTTCGTACGACATGGTGTGCTGGGACCCAAGGCCAAAGTGAGCGCTCGGAGCACAGGCTGGTGGAGGGTGTTCCTTTCGTTAGCATAGTGAATGCCTCTGGCTGGAAATGTGGAAATGTAACTGGAGAGGCTGCGTCTGAAAATGAACAGCAGATTTATGCGACGTGAAAGCTGTTGCTATTCCTCTTATTCTTAATTCGTGGATATGAGTTTGTGTGATCCTCTGACTATGCCGCTTATGGAATGCTGTCTATTTTGAACGTCATTCACTGTTTTACCAAATGTCAAGTGTCACTCACGTTTAACAGTCGTTTCTTTGTCTAACGACCCCCAAAGATCGTAAGCTTCTTGATGTTTTCCTTCTTCTCAGTTGGCTTGTATCTAACCATTACCCCACTCCACTCATTCCTGGCTTGATCACTACCCTCCCCACCCTCTGCTTAGTGCTTACTCCCCTCCCCCCTCCGTCAGCCGGAGCTGGTGGCGGAGCTGACGGCGGCGCTGATGACGTGTGAGTGTGTCATCTCGAACACGACCCGGTGGCGGCTGCACGCCGGCCTCCTGGAGCGTCTGAGCAGCCTGGCCGACTGTTTTCCGCCCGACCACCTCTACCATTGCTGGGTGCCCACCGTCTTCCAGAAACTGCACACTGTGGTAAGAGGACGGTCTTGACATACAAAGTTGACATTTGTTGTACAGTAACAGACAGCTCTGCACATGTTTTGTGCAGTCTGGAAGTGTACACACTACACAGCCGCACATTGCACACCATGTTGAGAGGCGGTCTGACACAACTGACAGTTGCCTGACAGTCTTACAGAAACATGCACAATCATGTAATCTTTCGTCTGATGAGTTTGTCAGAATTTCAGGCACACCATCTTATAGAGCGGTACAGGCTCTGTGCTCAGTGGCATGGAATGTTCAGTGGCTGTCATAATATGTTTTATGTGAACATGACGTTAAGCTAAGCTAATGACCTTGTGTGCAAAGTTTTCATGAGCCATGACTTTCTCGCGTGTTGTACATGTGCATGTATTCCAACTGTCGTCAGGACTTAGCACCTTTCAGAGGCTCTTACTGTCAGCAGTCCGGCGAATTTTATGTCGTACTTAAGACCCAGTCACTTAGCGAAACTCCCGCTAACCCCGGTGCCACAAGTCATGTCGTTTCGTGTCCGTGTTTCATTGTCGTGTCGTGGGCAGTTTTCAGCCTTGCGCCTCGCACAGTGCCGTCTAATGCGCCCGTGGCTATTTTGGACGCTAAGCTTGGCTGATGAGGCGGCTCGTCCGTGTCATTTCGCCATTCGTCACACCTCTGCTCGTGCCACTCTGCCCCCTTCCACCCCCAAACCCGCTCATTATTTGCCATCCACTGTGTTTCACCGTACCATGTCCCGCCCCAGGCCTGCGTGGCCCTACCGCGGTTTTCATTCACGCACTTAACACGCGACCAGCCACCTTGTGTCACTGACCTTTGCTTAAAGCGGCGCGTGCTGGAAAAAGGCATCCTTCAACGCCTCGGGATCCTGCTCTGAATAATGGATTACACACAAAGTCTTGGTGCGTGTGAAATGAGTGATGTTGTTCCGTGGGGGTGATCCATCAGTTCTGCGCAGGAGGCTTACTGAGACGCTGTGATGTATGCTGCGTGCTGTCGGCAGGTGAATAGTGATTGAGATTTAGCTGTCTTTTGTCTGAGTTAGCTCTGTTGTTGACCGCTCTTGTGGGGCCTTTGGCATGTCCGCGTCCACCCAGCCGTCAAATTGCCAGCTGTGGTCCCGGATGATGTATCGTATGTGCTCACATGCTCCTGTCAACGTCTCGTCACACGTGCAATGGAGTTTCTTCAATGTCTCCCGTAAAAGCTTAATTTCAGACGTGAGACGCACTTCTACTTTCTGATTTTTTTACACTGAAGTTTCACGCTAGAGTCGTCTCGTTCACTATGGCAAAGCTATGGACTCCAATATTCTGTGTCCTGTGGATTCATCATCGTGGTCTCTCCTTCGTGTCTCAGGATACTCTGTACGCCACGCAATGCTCGTCTCATCCCAATTTTTGCTATTTCCAGCGCATCTGCTTATCTCTCTGACCTGCCGTTGTTCTTCCGTTCGCAGAAGCCGGTACCATCCATTAAGGTTATTCCCTTCTCCACTTGGACAGCCTTCTGCCTGTCATTTCCCGCCCGCCCACACACAGAGACCGGCATCGTTCACAAATATACCCCCTGTATACCCCTCTGACTTACCGTGTGCCTCCGTTCCGCAGAGGCCGATACCGTGCCGTCAGGCGGCTGCCCGCACCTTACTGGTGTTCCTCCAGAACGTGCGGCACATCGAGCACCGGCACATGATCTGCGGCAGACTCGTGGAAGGTGGGTGGGAAGTGGAGAGACACGGCACAATTTGCTTGATTGCTGGATATTGATTGTCCAAAGAAGTCGTGGGAGAAACTAGCGCCTGTGGTTTCTGTAGAAGTAGGTGAATTTGAAGTTTGAGTGCAATGGTTAAACTGGGAGTATTTACGTGCCTGTGCGTAGGCCGACCGACTGAGTCTGCTTTTATTCCGAGCTAAGCCAGTGACAATGACAAACTCCAACAGACGGCTTCTAGCTCACCCCCGCCCCCACCCCGCCCCCACCTCCGCCGGCTCGGTCTAATGCCTCATCACAATGCACGGGCACCTGGCGCGGCCGCTGTGGTGGCTTTTACCGGCTTAGGCGGCCCGTGGGCGGTCCGATACCGTCCGGCGGCCTGCTGGCCGGCCGGCCGCGCCGCCTGCTTCTTTGGCTTAGCCGTTGCTCGGGCTGACGGCTGGCGCGCCGCCCTGCATTCATGACTGATGGGCCGGGTGGCGGGAGGTGGGGGGCAGGGAGGTGGAGATGGTTAGGACTGCGCTGCTGTGCGTCACTGAGGGCTGGCGACGGTTTTGATGTATTTATAGCGTGCGTCGTGAAAATGATCCAACTCCAAGCAATAGTGATCATCAAAGCATTGACGCAATGCAGTCTCTAAGATATGTATAAAAAGATATGTATAGAAGATAAGATATGTATAGAAAAACTCGTATTACAATTATTTCGATGTAAAAATGAGTAATGAACGCAAATTAGCCAAAACCGCTTGTTTTGAAAGCCCAACAACGGCCCGAGATAACATTTGTCTGTTTTTGAGCTACTTCAGTGTGGGTGAATTACGACTTGTTTTTCGACGGCATGGTATTTTGTATTCTCAAAGGCGAGTGAATCAGACTTAACGCATTTATCACGTATATTTGATATTTTATTTTATCCTTGGCTTTGGCAACACCCTAATTACAATTATATTTTAGTACAGTTAAGTAGCAACTTGTTAAGAGTTATAAACTGCCTTAGAACCGGAGGTACGAGTAAAGTCAACTAAAGTTGGATCCTGTTTGATCAAAACTATGTTACACATTAGCGACTTCCACGTGTGGTCGGCAAAGCACTCAGACCCGCGGGCCTGAACGTTTCTGATGGCTAATTTCCATAGCCAGCCTGCAATAGCTGGTTGCTATGGTTCTGATTGCATGGTTACAGACGTTATAATCGTAAGACCATAACGGATTCAGCATTGATTATGTAAAATGTGCGATCAGTTCAGTGCGAAACTTGCGACGCAACCGTTTCATGGCTTTTCAAACCTGCCCTTAACATGTTCTGGTTTAATGACGTCCACGGAAATTAATTCAGTTACAGGCATATGCCAGCCGAATCATCAGATCATAATGGTAACACTGTTCTTTCATAGTTCGTCACTCTAGCTACTCTACTCGTCGACTGATTGAGTTGTGAGTTCCAAGACTCATCGCACGTCGATAACCGCATCACTTTGATGGGGCAGGCATCAGCGATCATTACACCCTCCAAAGCTAATCAGTGTCATCCACGTGGGGTGCGTTACGTGTAGTGCGCTGACCCGTAAACCATTACCCGCCGGGGCTGTGACCTATGGGTTCGACCCGTTGACCTCTCTGGCCCTGTCTGTGACCTCAGGGGCGTTCCACGACAAATCGACAAGTGCCCTGCACCCTCATATTTTATTTTTTGCTTAAAATTGGTCTAATGGGTTGTGATGGGCGGGAAAGCCAGCTGTGACAAGGATTTTTTTCTTCGAACAACGGTTTCCGAGATATAGCCTCGGGCAATTCCTGGAGTTCGCGCTGCAGCCCTATGTTTGGCGGCCTATAACTCAAAAACTATTGGTTTTCTGCGATAAAAACTTTATATGGTTCAACTCACAATCAGCCAACAAACATTTTGGCTATCTCGGATTTTCAATTTTTGAAAATTTTGATCACATGACCTTTTGACCTATTTTTCGAAGAGTGACCTTGATATTTTCCCCACTGAAAGTTGCAATTTTGTCTGATGACGATTAAAGCCTTATCAATTGTCATTCATATGCGAAAATAAAAAAAGTGGATATCGCCCTGCGTTGACCTCAGGTCAGGTCATTTTTATGACCTGTCCATTATGACGAGCGGGAGCGACAGCGAGATCTCGAGAATAAAGCAAGATAGCGACAAGCGGTAAACCGTGCAGGGTACACACGGATAAGGTCTATAATTTTTACTGAGGTCATTTTCAGGTCAGGTCAAAGATGACGTCACAGGAGCAAAAAGGAAATCAAAATTGCGGCACTACATATATATGAAGTTTTTCTCGAATAACTTTCAAGGTATCCCAGCTAGGAACAAACTAATATCACCATCGTGATCCTCTCGTCGATCCGCATCGAAACATATGTATTTTGACCTCGAAAGGTCGAAAGGTCAAAAGTTGACCTTAGGTCACGTGACCTAAGGTCAACTTTTGACCTTTCGACCTTTCGAGGTCAACATACATATCTTTCGATGCGGATCGACGAGAGGATCACGATGGTGCTATTAGTTTGTTCCTAGCTGGGATACCTTGAAAGTTATTCGAGAAAAACTTCATATATATGTAGTGCCGCAATTTCGACTTCCTTTTTGCTCCTGTGACGTCATCTTTGACCTGACCTGAAAATGACCTCAGTAAAAATTATAGACATTATCCGTGTGTACCCTGCACCGTTTACTGCTTGTCGCTATCTTGCTTTATTCTCGAGATCTCGCTGTCGCTCCCGCTCGTCACGTGACCTAAGGTCAACTTTTGACCTTTCGACCTTTCGAGGTCAACATACATATGTTTCGATGCGGATCGACGAGAGGATCACGATGGTGCTATTGGTTTGTTCTTAGCTGGGATACCTTGAAAGTTATTCGAGAAAAACTTCATATATATGTAGTGCCGCAATTTTGACTTCCTTTTTGCTCCTGTGACGTCATCTTTGACCTGACCTGAAAATTACCTCAGTAAAAATTATAGACCTTATCCGTTAGTACCCTGCAACGTTTACCGCTTGTCGCTATCTTGCTTTATTCTCGAGATCTCACTGTCGCTCCCGCTCGTAATAATGGACAGGTCATAAAAATGACCTGACCTGAGGTCAATGCAGGGCGATATCCACTTTTTTATTTTCGCATATGAATGACAATCGATAAGGCTTTAATCGTCATCAGACAAAATTGCAACTTTCAGTGGGGAAAATATCAAGGTCACTCTTCGAAAAATAGGTCAAAAGGTCACGTGATCAAAATTTTCAAAAAATGAAAATCCGAGATACCCAAAATGTTTTTTGTCTGATTGTGAGCTGAACCATATAAAGTTTTTATCGTAGAAACCAATAGTTTTTTAGTTATAGGCCGCCAAACATAGGGCTGCAGCGCGACCTCCAGGAATTGCCCGAGGCTATATCTCGGAAACCGTTGTTCGGAGAAAAAAATCCTTGCCACAGCTGGCTTCCCCGCCCATCACAACCCCTTACACCAGTTTTCAACGAAAAATAAAATATGAGGGTGCAAATTTAATTTTTTATTTGTCGATTTGTCGTGGAACGCCCCCTCAGTGACCCGATTGGTGACCTCTGACCCCCCCCCCCCCCTGTTTCAGAGCTGGGTCAGAGCGATAGCTGCCACATGCGGAAACTCTATCTGGACATCTGTAGCATGGTGCTGGACATGTTTTCCAAGAACTTCTTCAAGCAGTACTTCTTCATGACCACGCTGACTCTAGTCGGTGAGTAGACCCGCGGCTGCCGGTCCGTAATTCGCCGCCGCTGCCAGCCGTCCGGCTCGCATTAGGCACAATTATCGTCTGTCTCCATTAGGTGTAGCGTTTTATCGCCGGTGTCGTCGTTTCTCGCGCGGAGGCGGTCATTTACCGGGACCATTTCTGGCCGGTCCAGACGGGTCGGTTAGAGCGCGCTTCCTCGAACGCCGGCCATTGAGCAGATTAGTGCGTGATCTATACGTCAGGAGTTTCAGCCGAGTGAGTGCGTTTTGGAGTGTGAATGTGTGCGGCTGGTGTGCAGCGCGCGATGTAATGTGTGTGAGTGTGTATTTCGAGCGTTGGACGACCTTGGTTCTGGCGTGGTCCGCGAATTTATGAGTGTCCATCGGGGAATAATTGAATAGGAGCATTATGTAGCGTCACCAGTGGGACAGCCAAATGAGGATTGATGCTGCAGAAAAGTGTGTTACGGAACTCGCCTGTCTCGCGGTTATGAAATTTACGTTGCATCATACGGATGTGCAAGTAGGATGTGTAAGTAGACACTTATCTATTTCTGCATTATGTAACTAACGTCAAAGTCATGTGCCTCGCGCAAACACAGAATCAGAACCGCTGAGCCTCTTGTTATTGCGCAAAGCTAGTGTGGGTCGTAATGCATAATGGACGGAGTTTTGTTGTGGTCCATGAGTTCGCTGGTAGCTAAGCCTCCTTCCTGTTTGGATAACCCCTGCCGGGACACTATTGTCCCATGTCCAATGGGGGCCAGGTGGGTATATACCTACCTGTGGCTCCTGCCTCCCCCTCCTGGTAACTGACCCGGCCCTGCCTGGTAACTGACCTGGTGCTACCAACTGTGGATCATTCATCAACACTCGGCACACTTCCACCTGCAGGACGGTCGCCCCGTGCCCTAGCGTCAGTAATAACCGTTATTTAGCACTGCTCGGCTGCGTATTTTAACTGACCACCCCACCTGGGTGATAAACGAGCGCTGGGACCGATCAGACACATACCCGACGGAAATTTTACCTGCGGAAATACCACCGGGAAGGATCTACCCCAAACCGGCCACCGATGGTCGGGTTGTGAATTAGTTACGCCGCCAGGCGCCGTTCGCTGACCGACACGGGAGAAGCAGCGGCGACCTTTGTGGCTCGGTCAGTGACTGACGTGGCCCGTTGGGTCGTAAATCGAGCCGTCCGACTCTGGGCAGACAAAGCGCCATGTGGGGGCGTCTGTAGGTTTGTGTGTAGGTCGTGGATGTTAGAGATGACGGTACGGGGGTGGGGTGTCTTTCGGTCTTTGTGTAGATCGGTGCTGCCATAGATAACTGTATGCCGTATGGGGGAGGACGGGGTTTCTCAGATTCCGGTGTTGGCCAGCTCTGAGCTGCGCTGTGGACAAAGCTAGAGCAAGACGGGACTAACCCTCCTCAGGGTGCCCACCAGACGTCCTATAGCGGCGGCTGGTCGGTCTAATAGACCGTTCTAATGTATCCAGGCGCCGGCCGAGCCTGTGTCCAGACGCCCGAGCCCGTGTCATTGCAGTCTGAGGGCCAAAGTTTCGCTCTGTCGCCGGTGTATGGACGTTGCCACGAGCGTCGTGACCACAAACAAACATCGATGTTAGCAGGGTGATCTATGCCGGGTTACCCGACCGCAGCGTTACGGGTGATCAACAATGTTAGGCAGTCGCTATTGAGCTTCCAGTCCGCTCCTCGGCCCACTGTGGTACAGTATGTCTAAAAAGAATGTACCGTCGCCACTACGTGGCGCTGGTGTCGCGAGCCGGTAGTTGGCTGAATCCGCACCAGACCACACATTCCCAAGCGCCAGGTGACAGCTGCGCAGCGGCCGGTAGTAGCGTAAGCCCGAACCTTCGTGACATGACCCCGGGGGGGGGGGAGGGAGAGAGGGAGGGCAGCGGTGTAGGGAGGGGTGCTCCGGCAAGCTGGCAGTTGTCGCGGACAAAGGTCAAGGGTAACACACCAAGCGAACGGACGCTGATGTGGGTTCGTGGGGATCGTGAACTTGTGTGTGGTAGGTGCGTATTGCGATGCACGGGTGATACGCCATGGGTCTAAGCCAAATGATTCATGGGAGAGCTGAAGAAAATACCTGGTCAACTACGGCGAATAATGGTGCTGAAAAATGGAAAGTATGGGTCAATGCAAGCCTTCATGACTATAAACATTTCTGAGGGCGCAAAGGCCAGCATTGAATAACGATATCCGGATAGGAATTAGCAATGATTTATAATTACATGCCGAAGTAATAGCGCTGCAAAACCCACCTAGTAAATTGTCAAGTCGGATTCATACCGACTTGAATTAAACTATCCTAAATTAAATTGTATATAAGATCTATATGCTTTGACCAGCTTCATGACCTGACGGGCTGTGACCTGACCTTGCCCCGAGGTTAACACCTTAACTTGATCTCACCCGAAGAAAATGTATACCATTCGACACGCCTGAGCTAGACAAACACGATGCTGCTAAAATCGCGGATCTGCGATCATTTTTAGCGAAGCTATTTACCAAAAACCGAACATGTGCCTTGGGCCACTTGACCTAACCTCAGAAGTCATCGGCTGATCCTAGTCCTTAAAATCGGAGACCAATCGCTGCATTTCGTAACGACGCACACGATCGTGTCTTTCGTGAGGCTCTAGTCTAGCTCAATAAGGGGCGAATCGGCGAAGGGGGTTGTTCCCTATCTTCCAACCCCCCAACGCCCCCTCGGTATTCAGAAAACCTGAAGGTCCGGTGAGGGTTAAAACGTTGCTCCTGAACGAGGAAGAAATGTCAAAGCTCTATAGACGTCCTGTAAAAGTGGCCATAATAAATAAATTGGTTAGAGATAAGATGCTTTTTAAACGACTTCCTCATACAAAATCGGGTGCTGGGACCAATCTTATAAACGCTTTAGAATGGACAGGGCGTCACTGACCAAAGTTTGGGTGCAGAAAACGGCTATTAAATGCAAAATGGTTTTCATGCATTTCAGTCAATTGTATATTGACGGTCCCAGTGGCCGAACTAAAAAAGTTTGGTAGTGTTTTGCATCTTTTACGCCCTAAGGAACTACACCATCTATTGAAGTGGGCGGGCTTATTTGAATAGGAGGGCGCATTATCCGTCAATCGTGTGCTTTCGTTTGTTTTGGACTATTTTACCACATCCACTGCTGCTATCACTATTAATATTATCTAATGCCGTGAATACGACAGCATTCCATTTATAAGATTGGGCCAATGGAGTCGCGCCCTGCGAGCTCGGTTTTCCGCTCGGCCGCTACGGGCCGAGGAAGTCGGTCTTCGCCTGAGGGCAGGACGGAGGTCAGCGAGGGAGCGCGGGGTCAGTCAGGTATCGCCCAGTGCCGAGCGGATGCCGCTCCCTCCCCTCTCTTCCCCTCTTCTCCCCTCCCCACCTCGGTATAGATGGGGAGGGACCGAACTGCCAATGACATGCGAGCGGTCAAGGCCGCTCGCGCGGCAGCGACCCTGGCGGCCGGGTGCCGCAACTGGGATTCAGCCAAGTTACCGATTCGCCTCCTGTGGGAGAGCCAAACCAGGGGACATACTTTTTAGACATACTGTACATTGTTTGTAATGATGCCTCTGAGTATGTGTAGCTTGAGGTTGAAGTGGAGCATTATTTGGATTGGGTGTAAGGGAAACACCACAGCGACCCGAATTACAGGTTGTGGTAAAGGTGGTGTCTATAACCTTTGCATACGTTGGCAAATTACAAATGCATATGCTTGTCTGGTCAAGGGAGGTGATACGTTAGTGCACCCACACACAAACTGACATCGTTTCTTCTGGATATAGGTAATGCGTATGTAATGTAGGTACAGCAGGCATCACATGCCATAAAGCTTCATAAAGCTTGTTTGTCGCTGCTTTTTACCGGCGCCCAACTCGTCGCATTCTTCTTCAGCCAGCTCTCGGTGGCAGCAGAGATTCCACCCCATCACACCCCCTCCAATCCATCCTCTATGGTCCCTCCCACCTGTGTCCAGTCGGCACGTAGTGGCCGGCGGCAGCGCCCTCCGTCTTCCCGGACGGGCAGCTCGTCAGGACGCGGTCAGCTCATGGGTTATCCAGCCGCGACTGACAGGTGACTGCGGTCAGCCCGCCCCACCCCGACATCACTGACCGCTGTGGGCCCGCTGGACGTCCGGCCTTGTCCGACACGCGTCACTCGGCTAAGTTGTGGTGCGGCTAAAATTGTCCGCTTGTCGGGGACAAAGACATGACCAGCAAGGTAACTGTGATGTCCTCGGTGACCTTGTGGCTACTCGGTGACGTCAATCGTGCCTTCAGTAATCCGTCCTCTCAACTAAGCTCGTGGATGACCCTTAACTCGTCTCATCCTTGATCTCTATCTCACCTTCAGCCTCTACTCCCAGTGACCTCTTCTGACCTCTGACCACGACTGGTCAGTGGTCATTGATCCTGACTGACCCCATGAACCGTACTTACCTCATGAACCCTACTGACCTCTGACCCCTTACTGACCTCTGACCCCGACTGACCTCTGACCCCGACTGACCCCTGAGCTGGACTGACCTTTGCTGACCTCTAACCTCTGTTGACCTTTGACCCCGGTTGCCCCCAGACGACCCGGTGCCGAACATCCGGCGCGGCCTGTGCCTGCTGCTGGCGCGGATGAAGGCCACGCTGCGCCTGCCGTCGGACAAGCGGCGCCTGCAGCAGCTGGAGGCCGTGGTGCGCCAGCTGCTGGTCACGGAACAGGACCGGGATGCGGCCGCCGCCGTCCGACACGCCATCATACAGCTCGACAAAATCGAGGTGAGAGACTCAGCGTGAGAACGTCGCTCCTGTAGAAAATTGTGAAGGCTTGAGGATGTTTCTGAGAAAGAAGGCGCGACCAAGCAAGCAACCGGATGTTGTTACACTTATTAGTAAAGTAATCTTGACCACACTTTTGTATATTCTATTCACGTGTATTCTTACCTTGGGTCGTGAACAATCATTTGCGGTCTGGGGAGCTTTCAAACAATTTCAAAATGTGTTGAACTTCTGAACACCTAAAAGCTAATATTACATGGCATATTTATGATGTTGAATATATACTGCTTAGAAACGCTGAGAATCTCAACTTGAAATTATTCATCGATGTAGGCGCAGAAAGAGCGCCTCGGTGAGAAAACCAAATGTGCGCTCCTGCCGACAGCTAACAATAGCTCGCTCCACCGACCGGATCCGACAACTTTTTGTTTTTGTGCGCAGCCCGCTGCGGCGAACTAAGACTGTGCAATCCCGACCCAGGCCGCAGTCGATAACTGGCAGTGAGGCCACTTGTCGAACTGTCGGAAACTATTGCGGCCGGCCTCAGAACTCTGTCCTCAGGCGGCTGGCGAATTTCAGAATTTATATCGTCTGATCAAAGTGACACTGGCGCCGGCCGGGCATACATTTCTGACAGCTTCTGGGAGCGGTTGCCGGCGGCGGGGCGGCGCTGGAGCTGTCTCGGAATGTTGGCCGCTCGTCCTCGCTGGCTGTCGAGGAGCGGTGACGTTGTCGCCCGTTTGATCGTGGGTTTTACAGTGCCGCCGGCCGGCCCTGTTGCCTCTGTCATGAGGTCATGTTGAATCATGTTATCAACAGCGCCGCGCCAGTACATCAGCGGATTTGTGTCCGAACTCAAACACGGCCCGAGTGTATTTAGCAGGAACTCGTTGCATAGCGTGCACGACTGCAGTGTTTGAACAGACGTAAAGCTGAAAGGTTCCGCCGGTATCGCTACACGTTAGCATTGAGTTCGGCATTCGTGGATGGCAGCACCCGAGTACTCCGGCCTTTGGAGCAGACTTGAGTAATAGTGTCAACTAGTGACTGAATAGTGACTGAATGAAAACGTATTTAATTTATAGTTATTTCGAAAATTTAGCGAATGCATTTAACCGGCAACTTGCTGCTTCGCAGTAGTCCGGAAAACGTAGGTATTGTCAATTTGGCTATGTCGTAGGCATCGGGTGAAATCCGGCATTTCATGAAATGCCTAGGCATTACATGGAATGCCGGCAAAAACTGAAATCTTCGTAGAAATAGGCGCGTTACAGCGAATGCCTGAAAATTTTAGGCATTTCATGAAATGCCAGGCGGAGGCCAGGCACTCCCTGAAATATGGTCAAAATTAACTGAGTACACTCGTTGCCTAGGCATTACATGGATTGCCCAAAAGACGACCGGCACTCTCTGTAACAAAACTTTTCGTACGCGGACGGTTGTGTGCATATACACGCCGGCGGGCGGGAGGGGGAAGGACGTTATCGTATTGGTGTAAAATGGGCTAACACTTCGAGATATTTCACGGATCGTCTCGTCTGCAGCGTACCAAATATTACACTGTGCAGTTATCGGGTTTCTCTGAAGTGTGGGGTCTGCTGTGTTGGTCCATAGGCAGTAAAAAACAAAATATCGTCTGGAAACTGTCCTATAGAGACCGCATTTTCAAACAAAAGGTTCCAGAACTGTTTTATTATTTGTTGACACATGGGAGCGCCGCGTGGCACCGACTCGTACACATCATTCCAGCCTTACGGCACTTGCACCTCTTGGTGTTGCACTGTTTGGCGCTGGCCCGGCATGCACACTGCTTCATCCCTTGCCCTCCAAAAAGTGACTGCTCTCGGAACGCCTCTCTCAGGCCAAGAGTGCGATCTGTTCCCACCACCCCAACCTCGTTTGCATTGGTTTCCCGCAAAGCTGAGCGCGGAAACCAGCCCTTTATGACCCCGGCGCGCGTACTCAGCTGATACACATCATTCCTTGCATCAGTGATCACTGCATGGATGTTAGCGGGATCGAGCGGCCCACGGTCCACTTTAGGCATGGCCATTACTACGGGGGTCCCGACCGCTAGGGCTGGGAGTTCAGTGATCACATCCACGCAGTGATCACTGATGCAAGGAATGATGTGTATCAGCTGAGTACGCGCGCCGGGGTCATAAATGGCTGGTTTCCGCGCTCAGCTTTGCGGGAAACCAATGCAAACGAGGTTGGGGTGGTCGAAACAGATCGCACTCTTGGCCTGAGAGAGGCGTTCCGAGAGCAGTCACTTTTTGGAGGGCAAGGGATGAAGCAGTGTGCATGCCGGGCCAGCGCCAAACAGTGCAACACCAAGAGGTGCGAGTGCCGTAAGGCTGGAATGATGTGTACGAGTCGGTGCCACGCGGCGCTCCCATGTGTTAACAAATAATAAAACAGTTCTGGAACCTTTTGTTTGAAAATGCGGTCTCTATAAGAGAGTTTCCAGACGATATTTTGTTTTTTACTGCCTATGGACCAACACAGCAGACCCCACACTTCAGAGAAACCCGATAACTGCACAGTGTAATATTTGTGTACTAGCTAACAATAAAGTAGATACGCTGCAGACGAGACGATCCGTGAAATATCTCGAAGTGTTAGCCCATTTTACACCAATACGATAACGTCCTTCCCCCTCCCGCCCGCCGGCGTGTATATGCACACAATCGTCCGCGTACGAAAAGTTTTGTTACAGAGAGTGCCGGTCGTCTTTTGGGCAATCCATGTAATGCCTAGGCAACGAGTGTACTCAGTTAATTTTGACCATATTTCAGGGAGTGCCTGGCCTCCGCCTGGCATTTCATGAAATGCCTAAAATTTTCAGGCATTCGATGTAACGCGCCTATTTCTACGAAGATTTCAGATTTTGCCGGCATTCCATGTAATGCCTAGGCATTTCATGAAATGCCGGATTTCACCCGATGCCTACGACAGCTACATCACTTGTTACAGTAAATTATTGAACGCTTTAGCTCAGCGTTATTACCGGAGGTTTTAGTGAAGACAACTAGTTTTAGAGTCTACTTAAATATGCAGTGCATGATTGCGGTAACACTAGGCGATATCTATGCAGTAATCAATGGTGTCGGTGTAAAAATAGGCTTACCTACAATTCATCTGAATGTTATAACGAAACGAGAAACAATCCCTTTCCGCTTGAGGTATTTGTATAGGATCGTATATGACTTGCTGTGGGTATCTTGCATTTCATTTAGCTATGATACCAATGTTGTGATGTAATTTTTACGTAGGCATCGGAGCATGGCTTTCGACCACTGGGTCAGCTCGATGTGCGGAATCAGATCCAGCTCAGTGGACAGGGGATGGGCGCAAAATGACCTCGCAGTCGGCGCGACCCTAACCTCCAACAAACAAACATCAGTGGACAGGGCACCTGGCCCGGCCTTCTGAGCTACTGGTGGACTCGGCACAGACGAAATCGATTTATTGGCGAACTTTGCTGCCCGACACTGTTTATTGTCCCAGCTGCAATGATTAGGGAAACTTTTGAAGGAATTGTTGTTGCTGTGCTCTAAGCTGCTGGTCAAGTTGCATTGATTCGGTTCAGAAGTCTGGCGTGGCTGTGAAGTCTCAAGTGCATCGAAAAAGTTTTTTTTCTAAGAAAATAATTTACAAATGCACGAATATTGTTTGCAACAGAATAGATGATCCGATGATGCTGCATCGGACTATTGACACGATTCTAATGAACTTGGCTCATGGTTTAACTTTTGGGTCCAATCAGCAAGTTTTTAGTTATTTCTTAGCGCTCACGGCCCTGTCAAATGAGCTCATGGAAGCAACTTGGTTGGTTGGTTAGTTATTTGCGGAGTATGATGATTACCCTGTTGCTAATTAGCAATGGACTTTCGCTTGATATAGTAGATGTTATAGTAGACGTAGATTTTGACCTGGCCGGAAGTTGGATAAGGCACCCAACTGTATCGATGCTATTTCCGGAGCGTCGTCAATCCTGAGGCAGATGAGCAACGCAATGATTCGCCACTTGAAAGCTGCTGCCAGCGAATGGTTCTGACATATATGAACGATATGCCCTTTTTGTCGATAACGCCGTTTCCGCCGTTTTTGTTACAAAGGAAGCGACAGTGCTGGGTACAGAGATGTGCTGGTATCCAAGTGCTGGGCTATATGTGATCTCAATGTATCTAACAACAAAAATCAAAGTTTCAGCCCCTGAGTCCATTGAATACTACAGGAAAGTGTTTATAGGATCCGGGCATGAACTCATCTGGCGAGGAACGAGATGCAAATGTGTTTAAGAGACCGTAATTGGAACCTTCAGACAGAAGAAAATGAGAGGTACTATTCGTTTTCCCTCAAGAGAACGTTTGGATTTTCCACAAAAATCGTGCTGCGATTCGCAATTTCACAGGATTGATCGACGAGGATCATGCTCAAAGCTATTATCTCAGAGGATCGCAAAACAATTTTCAGATGTCCCCATATCCTTTTTCTCAGCTGAATTTATATCTCTTCTGTGTAATCAACTTTGATGTTGGATTGACAGTTTGTTTCTTTGTCAATCCAAAAACTGCTTATTTTATCGTATAATGCTCTCAATGCATGTTTCATTTGATAACATCAGATGATTGTTTGAGTTTATTATCAGAAAGATGAGCGTGTTTGGAGGCATGCATCTCCTTGCTCTTAACGGCACATCTCGATGAAGCACCACCAGTGTTGGGTGCGTATGACAGATTGCGTCGTATTTCCATGTCGGTGGTCTTTGGCCTCGTCTTTTGAGTCGCTTTAAATAGAATATCTATTTAAAGCTGATGGATTGAAGTGATACGTCATGTATCTGCGATGGCCGAACCTTTTACGGGCCTTTCGCTGCTTTTGGTCCCTTATATAGCTAAATGGCTGCTTCGCCGTTCTTGGCTTCGATTCGCTATAGATGCGTCAGTTTGGTATTATATTTGGATCACATTTATAGTAAGAGATGGACGACGTCCACCCGGTTACTGAGAGCTAACGTCCATTGGACGTTAACTCTATATGGTCTTTCAGGGGCCCTGGCACCTGGAAAGCATTTATCGGTCAGCCGTGCGGCAACGTAGTACAGTGCGATATATATTAACCGTACCGTAAAGTGAAATCTACCGTACCGGAGACAGGCGTAGTTGGCGCATGCGCCGTACGAGCGCATCGCCTAGCCGCCATTGTCGCTTCAGAGCTCAACCGCAGCGGACACGAGTGGTTTCTGCGAGTGATTTCTTCTGTCGTGAGTACACATTACGGGCGTTATGAGCCACGCTTGAGAGCACAAGCAGCTATAGCCCGGTGAATTCCCTGTGTTGGGTGCGTGTCCAGGCTGCGGCAGTAAATCACAGTATCAGTTACGCCTCGCCTGCCGTATTTTTCCGGATCGTGTCCGTCAATCGGCGGTTGCCGTTGCTTACAAGCGCTATGCTAGATGCTCTGCCCCTGCTCTATGTATGGTATATATTTTTGCCGGCACCGTTCCGGCCCCGTGTCTGTTCCGTGTGGCGTCCGGCCCCAACGTGCTCTATGGTGCTTGTTCTGGGCCGACCCCCATTTCCTGGCCAGATGGTTCCAACATGGCGCATCTTCCCTTCCCTTCCACGGCGGCGGGTATCATCGGTGGGACAGCCGCGGGGCGGCGTGGTTCCACGGGACGGGATTGGTCGGCTCGGGGGCTACGTCATCGCACTTCCCGCGCCGCTCGCGCCACCTATGATCCGGCCGCTTTCCATTGTCTTTCATAGGGTCGGGTAGCTTTCGTTCGCGCAGCGGAAAGGTCCCGCGCGCCGGCATATTAGTCTACGGTCCGGTGGTGTAGTGGTTAGCGTCGTCGCGTTCAGCGCGGGGATTTCGGGTTCGATTCCCGGTTGGACCTAAACTTTTATAGGGCTTGGTTTGAGCCTCGTTAATGGCAAAGTTTTTTCACAGATTCTCTATTGCCGCTTTGGCGCGTGTGGGCGGTTTTCGTCGTACTTTCAGCCTCCAATTCCCGTTATGTTCTCGGCGTGTATCATTGCCTGTTGGCCCGTTCTATGTTGTGGTCGAACCCCTGCAGTTTGCAGCCGTCTGTGATGACGCTGTTGCGCCGGTGCGCGGTCTGCCGGTGGGCTGCACTGGCAGCCGGGGTGTCCAGCCCGCAGGTTGGGATGCGCTGTCTGTCCTGGCTCCGGTCCACCGTCCGGCGCGGTGTTCGGAGTCCCTGCCAGGGGCACGTGCTGGCCTGTTGCCAGCTATGTTTCCATCGCCAGGTGGAACCCGTCGGGGTGTTGCATGAGACCCTACAGCGGAACACATGACCGCCGCTCCCGCCGGTGTGACCTGTGGGTCACTTTCATTGGGATGATCCGTGAGCTTGACCCGGCTATTCGCCGTGTCGCTCCCCTGGTCCTGCTCGGTAGGCCCCGTGCACTACCAATGGGCCAGCGTTTGTTCCGTGATTTCCTGGCCCATACAAACGGGGTTAGCGCTATCCGTCCCGGCTCTGTTACTTCGTCTGGCGAGGTGTTCGGAGTCTCTGCCTGGGGCACGTCACGGCAGGTTCTGCTCCACGGGATTCGTTGCATGCATCGCCCTTAGCGCTCCCGGATTTCGCTCCCTTGACCCGGCTCGGCGCACCGACGGGCTCAGTTATTCCATTATGTCCCGGAAAGTAACGGGGATCGGCATATGTATGTTTTCGAATATATTTGTACTGGCCATGCTTCGCATGTCGCAACATTACGTGTTAACTACCCGAGCCGTGACAACGCTATGACTTGGCTGTCCTCGCCCTGTTGTTCCAGGTCATGCTAATAGTAGTCGGCGTCAGTTTCGCGTATTGGGCGGGCCGCCGAAGAGGGCTGCACGGGCGGGTCCGCACGGCGGGCTGGCGCGGGGCCCGTATTGCCGACGACGGGTTTCGGCGGTGGGCAATTGCGACCGTCCGGCAGCTCCGTCCCACGCAGGTCCTGCTGGTTGCTGGCGGCAACGACGTCGCCTCCAATCCGTTTAGCCCTCGCGTGCTCGTGCAGCTCTTTCGGGAGCTGGCGCTCGGGATCTTTGCCGCTGGCGCCCGTCAGTTACACCTGCTGCCGATTCCGCCGCGAGCAGTCTGCCGGCGTGGGCCGGTCTCGGTGGCGGCGTTTCGTCGTCGGCGGCGGCTGATGAACCTCCTCCTCCGGCGGCTATGCGGGAAACACCGCGAGGACTTCCCAGTGACCCTCTGCCCTTCCAACCAGCGATGGGCTTTGTGGGCGCCGATGGGGTCCACCCTTCCGGGGAGGGCTGGGCATGCCTCATCGATCTGATAAATGCGACCGCCGCCTCTACCCTCCTCATCTGAGGGCGCCCCACTGACTGGTGTGTTCGGCATAACACGTGTGCACTGTGATGTCAATACAGGACCGTCTAACCGTCGTGTGTTTCTCGTTTCATGACTACCGAGCCATGCCGAAGGCGCGCGCGCCGGTGCGCGGCCGCGCAGTGAGCCAGCCGGACGGCGCTGCGCGCGCCCGCCGCCAATCCACGCGGCGCCAGTCCGGCGCGTCAGTCCCCGCCGGGCCCCGGCGGCGAGCAGCCGCGCCGCCCCGCGGCAGACAGCCGTCGGAGCCAGCCGCTACGCAGCGGCCCGCTGTCGCCGGGCAGGCGGTCGTGCTCGACGCCGCTCAGTTGCGGGCCGTCGTCGCAGACGTCGTGCGGGACGCGCTGCTGACCGTCGGCCCGACCGCTGCCTGTGGCTCTACCGGGCTCGCGGGCTGCCGCGACGCCGCCGGACCCTCAGCACAGCAGGATACGCCGCCGACCACTACACGTTCGCCATCGCCGCCGCCGGCGCTGCCGCCGCCAATGGCACCGCCGCCGCCGCCTCTACCACCACCATCGGCGACACCTCCGACCGGCTCTCCGCCACATCTGCCAGGTACAAGCGCCGGGCTGGGGCTAGAGCTGTGTGAAGATACCTCGGCGGTGGCGCCGGCATTGCGGAGCAGGATCCAGGCGGACAAATTCGTCGATCTAGCTCTACTACTCGATTCCTATGACCGGTCCGCTACCGAGCGTCCACCCTCCTTCCAGCTGGTCGACGGCACCTTGCGCGCCGCTCCTCGCGTGACACGCCCAATTACCTCGTTCGGTGCGTGGAGCATCGCATTTACGCGGTTTGCCGGCATCTACGCCGAGGCGCACCCAGACGCGGCGGTGGGCCTTCTCGCTTACATGCGGCAGGTTGGCTCCCTGTCCGTGAGCGGTCTGGGCGTCGCATGGCGCGACTTTGATGAGACCTTTCGGCGGGCACGCGAATCAGACCCCGCTCGTCACCCTTGGGGTGCCACCGCCGCTACGTCCCCCTTATGGCTCATGGCCATAGCCAGGGGTGTTGGCGGCGTGGCCAGAGCCGCTCCGGTTCCGCAGCGACAAGCGGCCGCTGGATCTCGATTTCGGCCATGCTTCGCATACAATGGCCAACAGGGCTGCTCGGCCCGCGTCTGTCGGTTCACTCATGCCTGCCGTACATGCCGCGGCAGTCACCCGGCACATCAGTGTGCCACTCGACCTGCCCGGCCGGTGCACAGACGCGCCGGCCCCGGCAGCGCCGCCGCCGGTGCAGCCGGCTCCCGCTAAACCATCTTGTACATCTGCCGTCGCCTTTTCGCCGATGGTGCCGGCCGACACGCTCCACCAGCTTCTGTCCGGCTACAATGAAGAGTTGCGCCACTATCTAGTGTCGGGGTTTCGCTCTGGATTTTCCACTGGCTCTGCCATAACCGGGACAGGGGGGTCAACACACAACCTTCCTTCCTGTGATCTCGCACCTCAAATTATTGACGATTACGTATCTTCGGAGCTGAAGGCCGGCCGCCTCGCCGGTCCGTTTGCCGCTGACGGGCCCTCCCCGGTTAAGCGTATCTCACCCATCGGTCTGGTGCCAAAAAAGTCGCCGGGCTCCTTCCGCGTGATCCATCACCTATCTTTCCCGGCCGGTGAGTCTATCAATGACTACATACCACGCGAGTTCACGGCCGTGCAATACGGTTCCTTGGACGAGGCGGTGGAGTACATCTCCCATTTTGACCACGCATTTTTGGCTAAATCTGACATCGTGCAAGCCTTCCGCCTACTGCCCACGACCGAACGTGATTCTGCGCTACTCGGCTTCCGCTGGCGCGGGCTGATCTACGCCGACCGTGCGCTGCCCATGGGGTGTGCAAGCAGTGCTCAGATTTTTCAGACTTTCAGCGACGCGCTGGTATGGATAGCGCAGCGCCACTTCGGCGCCGGCCACATCGTCGCCGTGCTGGACGATTTTCTTTTTATCGGCGCGTCGAAGTCGGCATGTGCGTCGTCCCTGCGGGGCTTCACGGCCATGTGCCACCTCCTCAACGTCCCCCTCCATCCCGACAAGACGGTGCTGCCCTGCCAGCGGCTCACATTTTTAGGGGTGGAGCTGGACGTCGCAGAACGGGTTTTGCGCCTGCCCACCGATAAAGTGGAGCGAGCAAGGGATGCCGTGGCCGACCTCAGCCGGCGGCGGAAAGCACCCCTACGGCAAGTTCAGACCTGCATTGGGCTGTTGAACTTTGCGTGCCTCGCAGTGCCGCTCGGCCGGCCGTTCCTTCGTCGTCTCTCCGATCTCTGCGCCGGTGTCCGTCGGCCGCACCACCGCGTCTCCCTCACCAGGGCGTCGCGCCTCGACATGTCAGCCTGGCTTCTATTCCTGCAGCACTTCAACGGGCGTTCGCTGCTCGATGAGCGGCGCTGGACGCAGGCGGCCGCGGTGTGTCTGGAGACCGACGCCTCTGCCGGGGTGGGTCTCGGGGCCATCTGCGGCTCACGCTGGCTGCTCGGGACGTGGCCCGAATGGCTTCAAGGCGCCGATATCGGAGTGCTAGAGCTCGTCGCCGTCGTCGTTGCTATGCACGTGTGGGCATCAGACTTGACCCGCCGCTGCGTCATAGTCCGATCGGACAACAGCGGCGTCGTCGCGGCCATTAACTCGCAGTCATCGCGGTCCCCTGCCGCAATGCGCTGGCTCCGCCACCTCTTTCTCATCACCATGCGGTACAATATTCTAGTGCGTGCTAACCATGTCCCCGGTATTCGGAACGTCGCTCCTGACGCTCTCTCCCGGGGTCTCACGCAGGTGTTCCGGGAAGTGCGGCCGTCGGCCGACGCGGAGCCGACATCATGGGACTGGGCCGACTTCGCTATGCTGCAGACGTGACTGCACTGGAGGCAGCGGCCTTGGCACCGGCAACAGCGCGTGCTTACCGCGGGACGTGGGACCGCGTCCGCCATTTTATCGGCATCGGCCCGGCCATTCCCCTCTTCCCAATCGCCACTGCGACGGTGGTCGACTTCATCGGGGCCTGTTTCCGGGCTGGCAGTGGGGCCTCAGCATTAGCCAGCCATTGTTCGGCGATCGCTTACGGCCACCGCATCCGTGGCTTGGCTGATCCCACCGCCGATTTTCGGGTGCGCAAATTGCTCGCCGGGGCTCGGCGGTTGCGTCCATCACGAGACACGCGTACTGCCGTCACCCTCGACGAGCTCGGCCGCCTGTGCGCGGCGGTGAGCCGACTGCCGCTGCCCGCTGTCGACAGGGCCGCCTTTCGTGCCATATGCTCCCTGGCTTTTTTCGGCATGCTGCGGCCCGGAGAAGTCGTGTTGGGTGCCAACCCCGCCCACACCGTCCGTGTGCACCACGTAAGTGTGCACCGGGACGGCTTGTCGCTCACCATTCCCTCATCCAAAACGTCGCCGGTGCCGTTCACTACCGAGCTTGTGGCTCGCCCTGATCTGGCCTGTTGCCCTGTGCGTGCGGTGCAGGAATTTCTGAGCGTGCGCCCGGTCGGCCGCCACAGCGATTTCCTGTTCCTCTCGGGCAGCGGCCGTCCCATTACTACCCGACAGCTCACCCAAGTCGTGAGACAGGCGGGGCGCCTGGCGGGGCTAGATGTTCGGCGACTTGCCGGGCATTGCTTCCGCATAGGCGGCGCTTCATACGGCGCTCAGCTCGGCATGACCGAGTTGCAGCTCAAGGAGGCCGGCCGATGGGCGTCATCGGCCGTTCGGCGGTATCTGCGGCTCCCCGTCTCACTATCGCAGCTGGCCGCTCCCCCCGCTCGTCAGCATCCCCACTGAGGTCGTGCCAGTTCCGCTTCGCACAGACATTTCCGTCCTTCCGACACGGCGGCGTCCGGGACGGGCCCGGCCGCGGAGACGGGTATGTCAGCCGCACAAGCTCAGCCGCGCACAGCGTATCGCGCGAGCTGGCGTCACCCATCCAGTGCTCACCGCCGGGTCCCAGGGTTTTCGTGTGGCGGTTTATGGTTAGCCAAGCGCCGCGTTCCGTTTTTTGTTTTGTGTTTCGTTGTTGGCCTCGTCCCCCGACACGGCGGGTGGCTTGCGTCCCCCGGCCGCGGGTGGCGTAGTCGCCACATTTGCGTGCTTATGTTCTACTGCCGCTGGTTCCTGTGTTATGTTTATTCACATCGACCTGTTTCCTTGAGCGTCCTCCGACACGGCGGGTGGCCTCAGTCATCCGGCCGCGGAGGAACGACAAGGGGCGTGGTCGCGCAATAGTTGCGCGGTCGTCACTGTGTTCATATGTTATCCAAGAGTCGCGCGTTTGCCCGCGCTTCCCCGACACAGCGGGTGCGCTGAGTTCGCCACCCGGCTGCGGGGGGCGTGGTCGCGCCACATGCGTGATGTAAACCGCGTTCCCGACACGGCGGATAGTTCTTGTTCTCCGGCCGCGGGAGCGTGGTCGCACCGTATTCCGTGCCATTGTATCTCAGCATTTTCCTGCGTTGTCAATGTGTGTGGCGCCTTTTAATACACATCACATCACACAATTCGCGCAGCATCATCAACATAAATAACGTCAAGTCTCCCGTACGTCTTCTCGCGGTTCGGTGGGGGTATGGGCGTGGTCACCTCACCAAAAAACCAGATGGACGTGAATACAGTCCCATTGTCACACTGCATCTGGTTTTGTTGCAAGCGCGAGCTCGACGGATAAATGGTCTTTCAGGGGCCCTGGCACCTGGAAAGCATTTATCGGTCAGCCGTGCGGCAACGTAGTACAGTGCGATATATATTAACCGTACCGTAAAGTGAAATCTACCGTACCGGAGACAGGCGTAGTTGGCGCATGCGCCGTACGAGCGCATCGCCTAGCCGCCATTGTCGCTTCAGAGCTCAACCGCAGCGGACACGAGTGGTTTCTCCCACCACCGGCCCCATGCGCCCTGCCGTTAATTAACCCGGCGGCCGCTGGGCCTCCGCGCCACCCGCCGGCCGCTGGGGGGGGGGCATATAGTTGCCCCCCCCTTTACTTCCGCGGCGATATCGTCGCAACGCGAAGAGATAGAGAAGCGAAACTTTGCACACATCTTCCTGAATACCTAGCCAAGATTGTGTCCAAATTTGGTGTCGATCCCATTTGAAATGACGTCACAGTGACGTCATAAGTCAAATTGTAGATTTGGGACTCTCAGTTTCCTCACGATACATCAGGTATATGGGACCGAATATAAAGGGCCGATTATTGGTTAGGAACTAGATGGAAGTGTACTTAGATGTTTTAGGATGACAGCAGGTGCTGTCTAGTTCATTTACAGTTGAGTTTCATGCTCAGCGTCATCAGAAACGGTCCATATCGGAAAACGACAAAACTTTATGACGTCACTGTGACGTCATCTTAGATGCTATAACCACCAAACTTTCTTCAAATATTGCCTAGGTATTCATTTGAAGCTATGCCAAGTTTCACGTTCGTAGCTCATCAGGTTTCGGAGATATTTCACAAAACGTAAAGGGGGGGCAACTTTATGCCCCCCCCCAGCGGCTCGTGGGTTAAGGTGTTAGGTATTGAGTGTTTATTATGCGTCGCCTACCGGATTGTATTCCTGTGTGCCATGTGGTCACCTCACCAAAAAACCAGATGGACGTGAATACAGTCCCATTGTCACACTGCATCTGGTTTTGTTGCAAGCGCGAGCTCGACGGATAAATACTATCAACGTTAGTGTGTAACAGAGCTACAAGCTTCTCACGTGACCTCCTAACTCACACTCATTAATTGTGAGTGGTATTTCCGTGGCGACTTATTGTGATTGCAGGTTTGTATTTAAATATTGTATAGTTTTAGTATATATTTATATTGATATTATGTATTTCTGTTTGCATTTGTACGTTGTTTTTGCTCGGAACAATTAAAGATGTTCTTGAAAAACATCGGTTTAATGTTTAATTAGGGTTTTCATTAAACACCGGGACATGCTAAGACTCTGTCCAGAAAGGATGAAGCATCCGGTAAAGTGAATGCCTATTTGGCGACTGACGTCAAGCTAAATAAGCTATGACGGGATGCGGTTCGGTGTAATGTATTTCATGTCATGATATCATGGCTCCAAAACACAAAATGGTACATGCCTTATATAATCGTACACCTGATATGCGACGCACCAGTCCTCTGATAACTGTTGGAACAATATCGGTTACCAGCTGCGCTACGCCGCACTGCAGCGACATTTCGTTGTATAAGTATATGATGACTAAACCATCTCCCTTTCGTGTATGTGCCTTCTGTCCTAACAGTGTATTGGTACTGATATTTCTGACGGGTAACGACTACTTTACGAGATATTTAAACCGAAATTGTAGCCCAAATATGGGACGAAACACGGCTATGGCAAATCAGGAGTAGGAATGTAAGATGAACGCTCAGCGTGAACATTTATATTAATTAATTTAGTCACAAACCTCAAACATTCATTGCGGTACGCTTAGCGAACACGGTGGTGACCAGTGTGACCACAGAACTATATGGGTGGATAGTTAAAGGGACTATCCCACCTTCTAAAATGTTGTTAAAACCAGTTAAATTGTGCCCGACTTTATAGATTGGATGACCAGGAACACGGCTCTGGCATTTATTTTTCATTAAACATCCTAGGCTTCCCATATTCCAAACACAAACTTTCAAATATGTGACGTCACAGCCCAAAATTACCTCCTTCCCCAGGCCACATTACTGTCATAAAGCTGATTCTTTTTACTCTGTAGGCACCACAACAAAGTTCAGACCAAGTTTTAAGCGATTTTTCAACGAACAAACCCATTTAAATCAGAATGACTAAACGAGGTGACGTCACACTAACGGTCGCTCCATGTTGAAGATAGGGCCTTGTACAAGGCCCATTTTCAAATGAAGGAAACGAATTTCTTCAACACCAAGAGGCCGTGGGGGCTGCAACCTAGATAGATAGTGGTTTCTGAACCTCGCCGCAAACTTGGCTATCTCAACTCAAACCCCTTAGCACGTGCTCGGCGATCGGTGGTACGAGTAACCATCATATACCAATTTTCTTTTGGCGCGACTCGGTCTCGACTCCTTTCACGCCCTCTGTCGATCAGCGTCCTGCATGGGGTCAGTGCCGTGATTTCTTGCTGAAAGACGAGACGGACTGATGAAAGGAGGAGACAATGGGTTTGGAGGGAAGATAATGTAATAGTGGGGGAGTGGGGAGGAGGTGGGGAAAGATGGTCCCTCTGTGATGGTTTGTCAGCAAAGGGAAGGGTGCAGTTCGTGGGGCGCCGCCGCCTGTAGTCACTTCCACGTCAGTGCAATGTCTGGCCGGCCGCTAGGTGTCACTGGGTGTTTCATATGAGTCATGGGTTCACACAATGCCGCCGCCGAGTACGTACGGGCGTTTGCGGCGCCGATGTGTGTATGGCTGTGGGCCTCGCCGTTCTAATGAATCTTACAGTCTCATCCGATCCAGTAAGGTGCCATTAGCACGTGCTCGGCGATCGATGGTACGAGTAACCATCATATACCAATTTTCTTTTGGCGCGACTCGGTCTCGTCTCCTTTCACGCCCTCTGTCGATCAGCGTCCTGCATGGGGTCAGTGCCGTGATTTCTTGCTGAAAGACGCCAAAGAAATTGCCAAATGTATGGGAAAATTAGGCCGTAGAGGTCGCGATCGCCATTCGCCGGGACACCACGCAGGTACCCGGCCGGGGTGAGCGGCGGGTACCTCGGCTGACCGCGGAGGCCGGCGGAGGGAGGTAGGCGGGGAAAGACTACCTCGGCCACCGACACTACCGAGGAGCGCGCGGCGGGCGCACGAAGTGCGGTGGCACTGACAGTGGGCAGTTTCAGGCCACGGGGAGGAGGGGGCTGGCAGGAGGTGGAGGGGATGGTGCCGAAATTAAGGAAACCGACCGTTCCGGTGGGGAGGCAGCGACGTCGAGGGGTGAGGGATAATGACGTCCGAGACCGCTTGTGGCCGCGCAGTGATGCGATGGCGGAGCTAGAGGAGCACTCGGAGCTGCCGGCGGTGGTTTGGCTGGCCCAGTCGGTGGTGTCCGGGCTGCTGCTGCAGCTTCGAGCGTGGCGGCCGCGAGACGGCTGTCGGGAACGCTGTGACGAGCCGAGTAGACCCAGCTCGGGGAGCGGTATCGCGCGTGGTGCAGATGGGGCAGGCACGGGCGAGGCAGACTGTTGACACGCCACACGGCGGCGGCCGGTCGGTGCATCATCGTTCGTTCTGCGCGGGCCGGTGCGGGCGCCGCGGCGGCTCTGAAGGTTAGTCGGTAATCCTGTTTCGGCGTGGAGAGAAGGAATGGCGGCTGATTCCACCGCCGCTGCCGCAGCGGCACGGGGACCTGTAAGTCGCCCCTGACGTTAGTCGAATGAATAGGTGACTCATCGGGTAGTTGGTGCTGGGGGGAGGCTAGCCCAGTTCTGCGGTCCACTTAGTCCAGCAGAACCCCCGGCGGCAACCGGCTGGTGGGCTCGAGAAAGTGGACCGTTTGACGATCTGGTGAGTGTGGGCTCCAGCAGGTTAGTAAGGGAGACGTGACAGACAGCGGATAGGTATGGTATGGTCAGCGGACCGGTGACAGTGGGCGCTGCTCCATATCCAGCCAGCGTGCCGCGGAATGGGTACGGTCAGAGGACCGGTGAATGCCAGACCCAGCGGGCAGAGGAGGGCGCTTCCAGTCAGCGGGCCGTGGAAGTGGGACGGTCAGTGGACCGGTGAGTGTCACTGCCAGCGGGCAGAGGAGTTCGCTTCCAGCCAGCGGGCAGAGGAGTTCGCTTCCAGCCAGCGGGCCAGGAAGTGGGACGGTCAGCGGACCGTTGAGTGTCACTGCCAGCGGGCAAAGGAGGGCACTTCCAGCCAGCATGCCATGGAAGTGGGACGGTCAGCGGACCGTTGAGTGTCACTGCCAGCGGGCAGAGGAGAGCGCTTCCAGCCAGCGGGCCGTGGAAGTGGGACGGTCAGCGGACCGTTGAGTGTCACTGCCAGCGGGCAGAGGAGGGCGCTTTCAGCCAGCGGGCCGTGGAAGTGGGACGGTCAGCGGACCGGTGAGTGTCACAGCCAGCGGGCAGAGGACGCATCCAGCCAGCGGGCCGTGGAAGTGGGACGGTCAGCGGACCGTTGAGTGTCACTGCCAGCGGGCAGAGGAGGGCACTTCCAGCCAGCGGGCCGTGGAAGTGGGACGGTCAGCGGACCGTTGAGTGTCACTGCCAGCGGGCAGAGGAGGGCGCTTCCAGCCAGCGGGCCGTGGAAGTGGGACGGTCAGCGGACCGTTGAGTGTCACTGCCAGCGGGCAGAGGAGAGCGCTTCCAGCCAGCGGGCCGTGGAAGTGGGACGGTCAGCAGATCGTTGAGTGTCAGGAGAGCGCTTCCAGCCAGCGGGCCGTGGAAGTGGGACGGTCAGCAGATCGTTGAGTGTCACTGCCAGCGGGCAGAGGAGGGCACCTCCAGCCAGCGGGCCGTGGAAGTGGGACGGTCAGCGGACCGTTGAGTGTCACTGCCAGCGAGCAGAGGAGAGCGCTTCCACCCAGCGGGCCGTGAAAGTGGGACGGTCAGCGGACCGGTGAGTGTCACAGCCAGCGGGCAGAGGTCGCATCCAGCCAGCGGGCCGTGGAAGTGGGACGGTCAGCGGACCGTTGAGTGTCACTGCCAG